GGCTGATATTGCTAACGACTAAACTAGAACAAACGATAAAATTTGTATCGTCTGGATTCCGGAAATATTCGTAGTACTCGCCAGTTAAACACGGGATACACCGAGAAACGCAACGCACGAACTACATTAATAGGGCCCCCCAGGGCAGGAGCTGATAGATGGCCTCACCCATGTGTGATCACAAAACCCAGGGAAATGTTCTTTACGCATATCGTTGCAGATGCCTCTAACAATCGCACCGCCAGAGTCTAGACAGAATGGCACCTGAGCTCTGGGTCACTCAGGAATAACACGTGTCAATGACAGATAGAGAGAAAACTCTTTCTCTACCGGGGTATGATTCCTCATATTATTTTATCAAGAAAAGCTCATGCGAAAATATTATGTCCGCGATGGATTGAATCTTTAGCTACAAGATTTCAATTTTTAAGAAAAGATGTTTTTATTTTGTATCTTAGAAAGTACTTTTTATATTATTTTTATGTTTAGCATCTTATAAGGTATATATTTCAATGTAAAAAGTTATTTTATTGCGCCAGCTTGTTATCTCCATAATTTCTATATAAAAACCCTCTCATACCGTTTTCTCTTCAGACGCATTGTTTTTTTTATTAAAAAGGCAAAGAAAAAACCGCTTCTTTTGGCATATTTGGTAAATTTTAACGGATTACACTTTCATTTGGAATTTCGAAAAATGCAATAGTAATAAAAAAAATTTACGGTGAAGTTTAGTTTCTAGTCAACTCTTATGAAATAGAAAATAATAGAGGGATTCAGCAGAGGTAATTCTCTGTCATTTGAAATGCAGAGTTTAATGAACTGGTTAGAGAACAACACAGTAACACTTTAGATGATTGAATTCCCGAATAAAAGATAATATATGCGTAATCTTTAGTATAATAATACCTTATACGTAGATTAGAATGCACTATTCAAAACAACTTTGGGAAGTAAAAAATTCAGTTGGAAACCAACTTCACATGGGCATGATCTTGTAGTGATGAAGCTATGCAATAATGTCTCTATTTTACCTCCTTCGGCATAATAATCATCTGTCCTGCTAAGAACTCCAAATTGACAGAGATAATAAGTTTGATATCTATCTCTGAAGTGTAGAAATCTCAAATAGATTTTTTCTTTTCCAAACAATAGACGCTTTCTGTGCATAAAATTTAGGCCCCCGTCTTCGTATCCCTAAGAGAAGTATATTTAAGGTTAATGTAGAAATTATGTTTTATCTATGCCCATGCATGGCCACTCATACGGAGCTACTTCCTCTTCCAAATATTTAAGCGTCAGCCCGGACAAATTGTTTTCAATCAAATGTTACGTTGGACTCCATCATCATTACATGGGTGGTAATAAATTGTTATATTGTTATTGAAACTATCATACAAGCAAAAGAAAGCAAATAAAAAACTTCACAAAAACAACAATATCTTTCACAAATCCAGGAGCATCATCAGGACCATCACATCGTTTCTTGTATCCAAATTACTTATTCTCAGAATGCGTCTCATATACACCCTAATTTTCCCATAACCTTGAATAACCATGAAAGTATATACACATATCAATAATTCACTAATTGAAACTATGTATACTAAGTGACATATAAATCCGAACACCAAGTTTAAATGGTTTTATTTTAATAAAATTTTGTATAAGTACTTAATGAAGCATAATTAGTAAATGATGAAAATTTCAGAATGATTGCACTGCTTTAAAGCCCTTTGACCTTTAATAATGTGGATGCACCCTGATGTGCTACGCATTCTCCAACGCGCCTAGGCATGCTTGTGATCAGGTGGTCAATGTCCTCCTGTGGTATCTCATTCCAGGCAACCACCAACCTCTCTCGAAGTGCTTCTAGAGTCTGAGGCTCCTACCCATCATATCCCACACGTGCTCAATTGGGGATAAGTCTGGCAATCTTGGTGACCATGGTAACAATGTGACATCATTATGTTGAAAGAAGTCTATTGTGACTCTTGCAACATGTGGTGGGGCATTATCTTGTTGGAAAGTTGGATCTGCCAGGGTGTCAAGATAGGGTAACAGATGGGGTTCTAGAACTTCGAGGATATAACGCTGCGCGTTCATGTTACCTCTGATGAAGATTAAAGGTGACCTGGAACCATAAGCTATAGCACCCCAAACCATAACTCCAACAGTGTGATGAACATGTCTTTCAACAAAAAACTGTGGATTCCTCCTTTCACCACGTCGCCTTCTCACCCTGGCATGACCATCGTGCATGCCTAAACAAAATCGGGACTCGTCACTAAAGACAATACTGTTCCATTCCTGATCCCAGAGTGACCGTTGTCTGCACCACTCAAGGCGATTACGTCGGTGTTCTCGAGTTAAAGGGAGGACCCAGTGTGGCCGGTATGAAAACAAGCCAAAACTTCTCATTTGTCGGTAAACACTTCTCATGCCAATAGGTCTTCCGTGTTCTGCAAACCATTCATTTGCAATGGACCTGGTAGTGGAGAAACGGTCCCTTAAGGCCAATAATCTTAGGCGGCGATCTACACGGTCTGTTGTTCTACGGCGGCGTCCAGTGCCCCTTGCTCTTTGCGTACGGCCTTCTCGAAGCCATGCCTGACAACACCTAACCACAGTGTCTACACTTCTTTGCACTCTAACTGCAATTTCCCGAAAAGAAAGTCCAGCTTCCCGAAGTCCCACTATACGGCCCCTATCAAACTCACTAAGTTGACGAAATCGTACAGATCTCCGTACTCTAGGCATCGTAACCGATCGTAAAGGATGTCAAGAACCAAAATCCGCCAACGTTGATTCTTTACTGCAGCTTAAATATTCATTTTTAGAGCGTTAGTGAATTAAAAAAAAGCAGTATAAAAACCGGAATGTCCAACTGATAAGGCTGAACATTTTTTCATTTGTTATTTACAGTAAGATAAATACATTCACCAAGTTTTATCAAAATAAAACCATTTAAACTGGGTGTTCGGATTTATATGTCACTTAGTATATGTATGTAGATAACCTCACAGAAGGAAGAATAGCAAATTTATTTGGCACGTTAGATTGGAGGTTATTGCCTAGAAAATAAGCACTTATACTCATTCAACTCATGATGCTCAAAATGAGGAATGGTTCCCAGCATTTCCTACTATCTAAGACATATGTCTCGTATTTTTGCTGAATCGGTTCTAATACCCGTCTATAATAATTAAATGATAACGAGTTTGTTTTTCGGATGTTGATAAACAACACTTATAAAAGTTCCAGTTATAGATAGCTATCTAAATAGTAATGTAACACTAGAAACTTATTCTATGGTTTTCATGTTGATAGGACCCCGTTGTCCTAGGCTAAAAAGTATTGTGAAGGAAGTAAGAATAAAAAACGTTATGCCCATCCCCTTTTGATATCCCTTAATATTATGAATATGCATTTTTGGGAAGTTTTGGATGATAGAGATACCTCATGTCTTCTTTAGATTTCACTGAATACTGAACTTATGTTATTTCATTTTTTATTTAGAATACAGACTGGATATACAGGGTGTTAGAGAAATAATATTCGTAACTTTTAGAGGTGATTTCTTGCATTATTCTAAGCAAAGTTCATTATAGCCCATGTCCAAAAATCCACCGTTTCGGAGCAAAAAATGCTGAACTATTTCATTTTAGACATGAAATAAATTAATTTTGCACCTTAGTAATTTAAATTCATTTGCCTAATAGCGTAAAATGTATCAGTACATCTATTTATTAATTAGCTGTCTCCGACAAAATAATTATCTTGCTGATTAAATACAATTTTCCGAAGAAAAACAGACAAACAAGTCCGTCACACAACTGGCAACGTCGTCCTCCGCCTTCACTGCATGTATCATCGCGTGTTGTTGTGATTACAAATACATTTTACTGTAACTTTATGTGATTTACGGATGTTGGTTTTTTCTTTTCTCGTGCATCGCATCGTTTCAAGTAAGTGACTGATAATCGTGGGAATTGGTGGTGTGTATCGCCACGTACCGGTAAGTTCTCTAATTTTTTTAATTAAATGTACTGTACTGAGAGCGTTATTAAATAAAAATATTAGCCACAAACGTGCGTAAAAGTATTCAATAATTCAAGGCATATTTTCAAAAAAATATCATACAAACGTAAACAATTCGATGAATCAGTTGCGGTCATCGTGCGCTCGTATCACGGTTGCCAAATGTTTGAGAAAATTTAATTACTTACGATTCACTTTCCTCGGAAACTATTGATTTTCGGGCATAAGTTGTAATGAACTTTTTTGCTTAGAATAATGCAAGGAATCACATCTTGTCATACATTTTAGGCAATTCCTATCAGGAATCAGTTTATTTACCAGCTTAAAATAGCATGCTTGATCTACGAAACCATATTTGCAATAAAAAATCTATATTAGTATTATTTCTCCTTTGTATCTTTTTTCGATTGAAGACTTTGAAATAAAATTAATTTTGTTGTTCATGCGCGTGCTTACTATGGGCCATCTTCGCGCATACGCTCTTGTGTAACATAAGTTTGTATTTGACATTCAACCCCATGAACTTATTAACTCCCGGTCAAAACAAACCTTGTCGCTGATATATTCGCTTGTCACTACCACGCCCAGGCATTTGCGGCTCTGTGAAAAATAGGAGCACTGGAATTTGATCGTCGCGCGCTAATGTTTGGTAAATGGGATTTGAATACGCTTCAGTAATTTTTTTTTCTAGGTAGAAGATAATCATGTTGACCCCGAATGGACGCTGTTGTACTACTTGAGGACTAATCGTATCCTTTTCATATGAGTAATACATCTAGAAACAGGTTATGCATGATAAGGAGATAAGGTCTCCATGCAAAATTTTAGAGCATCTAGGTTAGTAACGAACAAAGCAATGTTCAAGCCGAAAACGATTTGGAGGCAGGTTAGTTTTGACTGGCAACTAGGATTTCCATGGTTTAGAGTAGATTATAAGGAAGCAAGCCTATATGTTTACATTACATTGTCGCCAGAATGAGTGCATTATTTTTTAGTCATTTGACTAACAATGCCTATCAGAGTGACAGCGTTGTATCAACACAATAGTAATTGCAGGTGGAAACATCTACGTTCATTAGGCTTGTGCTGCTTTTTGAAAATTATGTAGGAAGTACCAAACACTGAAATTTTTTTTGAAAATAAGGCTAAAAATATGAACTTAATGATAGGACTGTAAAAAATTAACTTATGTCAAGTGCACTTGTAGCATGCACTTTGACGCTTTCCACTGACTATGAGAACTAGGAGGCAAACAAATCCTTAACAGGCTTCTTATACGAGTACATGATCATCACCAACGAATTCAGACTAAGTAGAACGATTCGTTTGTCTCCAAAATATCAGTATGTAGAAATGATAAAAGTGTATATTACAAGTCAATTTTATGACAGTTCTGTGATTAAATTCGTATTTTTAGTGTTCTTTTTTAAAAATGGTACTACTTGCATAATCTGCAAATAGTGGCACAAGCCTAATGAAGATTGATGTTCCCACCAGTAATTATTATTTATTATTATTATTGTTATTATTATTATTATTATGTTGATACAAAGTTGTCGCTTTGGCAGGCAGTGATAATCAAATGAGTCACTTGAGCTAAGCAATTCTGCCGAAAGTCAATGCAATCTAAACATATAGGCTCCTAACATATTCGAGTTCGTTGGTGGTGATCTACCGACACCAGTGGCACTGATCGTTGATTATCTCTTTCTATGGTTTCCATAGTTTTTTCTATTAATATATACACTACCACGCAAAATTAACCGGACAAACGAAATTTTGTTCAAATTAAATTTGAAATAACTGTTTAATCTTTGTTTGTTTCGTTAATTTTTCCGTCAAGATGTAGGTAATTTCATTGTCATCATTATTGACTGTCAATCTTGCTAAAAAATTGAAAATGTTTGTTGTTATACAGGGTGTAACTAAAAGGTGCATTTTGACCTAAGCTTCTGAACACCCTGTGGACATATAGGATTACTGAATGTGTCTTCATATGAGAATTTCAAGCCTCTACTTTTCTCAACAGCTCTTTTTTTGATTTATGTCAATATTTCAATTATTGAAGAATATATGGTGTTTTGAGGAAACTCATGCGAATCATAACCAAAACAATTTAACTTAAAAAATTACAGTGACATCATTGGTAATTAGAAATTGTTATCAAAAACGAGTATTTACTCCCCGGGCTTGTATAACAGCTATCATCCTCTCTGGCATAGACTCAATGACACCAGCTATTGTGTCTTGGGGTATTTGCTCCGACTCGTTTACCAGCGCCTGTTCCAACACAGTCACAGTTTGGAATTCGCCATAGTTCTGCCTAAGCCTTCTTCCTAATGTATCCCACATGTGCTCAATGGGGTTGAGATTCGGACTCCTTGGCAGCTAGTCTAGTACTTGAATTCCAACATCGTTGAGGTATTGCCTAGTCATTCTGGCTATATGCGGCCAAGCATTATCTTGCACTAATAGAAAATTTTCTCTCATATAAGGCATATGAGGAACCACATGCTCTTCCAAACACTCTCTATGTACCTGTCGGCAGGAAGGTATCCTCCTCGTAGCCAAACAGGATCTGTGCGAGATTCCAAAGAAATATCGCCCCATACCATCACTCCTCCACCACCAAATTGCACTCTACGAGCGAAACAACTTTGAGCATAGCGTTCTCCACGCCTTCTCCACACTCTTCAGACTTGAGGTGAATATCTCGTAAAAACGAGACTCATCTGTAAAAAGAAAGTTTGTTCAGTCGTCCATATACCAATCTGCTCGAATTCGACAAAATACCAAGCGTTGCCTTCGATGACCTACATCCAATAGAGGACCTGTAGCAGGTACACAAGATGGCCGTACGGTATCAAGTGAAACTATGGATGAACATCATCCAATCTGCGAGTCAAAGCTGTAGCATTAACTGTTCTTTCTCGAAGAGCTTGAAGTCTCAGAAACCGATCTTCAGCTGCGTTTGTTGCTTTCCGTCTTCCCTGTTCAGTTCTTCTTCAGTAAGAACCAGTTTCTCTAAGTCTTTGTATCGCATCGAATACCGTACTGCATGGAACGCAAGCCTTTCTGCGATATACCGAATAGGACGACCATTATCTTGTGAAGCTACAGCTTGCGCTACCTGCATTGTCATTTTTCTCGAACATTACTTGACAAGAATCTTTTTGACATGCCATAAACATGCTAATAGACACAGCCTACTTGAAACAATTTCTTACCCGGCAAAGCCTGCTTGAAACAATTTCTTGTTTATGGTTATAATTGAGATATTGACATGAATCAAAAAAGAACTGTTGAGAAAAGGTAAGGCTTATAATTCTCATACGAAGACACATTATTCAGTAATTCAAGGTTTCCACAGGGTGTTCATAAATTTAGGGCAAAATGCACCTTTTAGTTGTATAACAATAAACATTTACAATTTTTTTCAAAATCGACAGTCGATAATCATGAAAATGAAATTACCTAGAACTTGATGAAAAAATTAACGAAATCGATGCAAAGGTTAAACAGTTATTAAATATTTAATTTGAACAAAATTTTGTTTGTCCGGTTAATTTTGCGTGGCGTGGCAGATTGACGTTGCCTGCCAGTAAGTAGGAAGCCTGCTTCCCCTGTATCTTTTGCCTTATTCTAAGCTGGGCCCAGCATCTTTCTTGATGATTTTATAGCTTATCCACTGTTAGCAGCTTAAGATACTTGATGCAATAATTTCCTGAACTAGATTCAGTCAGATTATGTGGAACCAAACTAGGATGCGGTGAAGGAGGATGTGGAGCTTGTACGGTCATGGTATCCAGATACGATAGACAGAAATGTAGAGTAGTGTATCCTTTTTCTTATAAAATTACTTTTTAGCGGAACTTACTCATAATCACTCTACTATAGGCTCACGTTGTCGCACTTTAATGTCATGCTCTCAACTAGGAAGCATTTTTAGAAGTTCACATTTGTTTTATGTCAATCTTCTTCAATGCATTTGGAATTTCAAAATATCCCAAAACTTTATATAACAGGTATTGAAAACTCGACGTACAACTGACTACTCTAAGAATTTCAAGGACTTACTACAAGGTGACTGAAACGTAAATGACCCCTGAAAAGGTTTATTGAAAACGTGCCTATAATTTGTGATTTGAAGGAAAATGTGTGTATAAACATCTAGTTAACAGGAACTGAGAATTCATGCGATGAAGCATTTATGGATGTTACAACATCTTTTCTAAAACCAAGAGAGTTTTTCTCTATTTATTCCCGAAAAATGCAAAGCCATCTATCCTGCAAACACGCCTCCGAAGATTCAAAATCTGCAAATTCTGAGTTATACTGCCCTCTTTAACGCACAGGGGGTACTTACGTCTAGCATGAAATCGAGGGAAAGGCGTCCAAAGCTTGAACAACTGATTCATTTGTGCCGATATGTCAAACAAATATATTGGATTCCAAGACAACTTACATACGTTATGGTCAAAACAAATTGTCAATGAGTAGAAAAAATGACACTGATTTACTAGGTATCAATAGCCAAATATACCCGCAATTTGCAGATACCCCCTTTGCATGGCAGTATACAAGAGCCAATATACATATCATGTTCGCTGCTCTCTACAGATTTTGGAAATATCGACAGGGATTTTGTAAATTGTAAAAACAAAACATTATCGAACATCAATCACCCCGCTTCAGTGGTAGTTCTCCTATGTGATTTCAATGCCCATAATGAGCTCTGCAGTTGAAGCGTACGCTGCTACCCAGGAAGTAACCCAGCATGCTGGTGACGAGCCCTATTTTTTCCCTCGCGATTCGTCACTCGCCAGTAGCCTGCTAGATCTCTATCTGACCACGCATCCTGTCCCTTTCAGCACTGCTGTCCTGTCTTCCCTGGGTAACTCAGACCACGGTGTTGTGGAGGTAAGCTTTCGGTCAGAACCCACCGTGACAGCAGAATCTTGCCCAAGCCGCAATATTTGGCATTACGGACATGTCGAATGGGAGAGACTTCTTCTCCAGATTTCCCTCCCTGGAGAGATGTTTCATTCGCTTTAACTATCCACGTTAGGATGGAGGAATACATATCCCATACCGTGAAAGTGCCTGAACCAGAATCCAAAGGCTGGTTCAAGGAAGACCAGCACGATATAAAAGTTAGGCACAGGGTAAAGTCGCAACGCAATGGCAGCCGATTTTTCTGGCCTCCAGCTAAGCAGACTGAGAGGAACGCTCTCTGGCGGTGAGCTGGAAAAAAAAGACTTTTTGACGAGAGACCTGGAGGTTCTCACTGCTTGGGTAGGCAACAATCTTGTACAGTTCAATGCTTCCAAAACACAGTACTGAATCTTGACGAACAAAAAGTTCCCTAGCGCTCATCCTGTTTTGATGGATGGCCGAGTTCTGCCAAAGGGTCGCTCATTTCGGCTAGTCGAAGTCCAGATCACCGAGGACTTGATCTGGCACGAACACATCTCGTCAATAACGGTAGCTGCTGAGAAAAAGCTAGGCTATTTGTTGAGGGCTAAGAAGTACTTCCCTCCACATTACCTCCTCACTCTATACAAGGCCCAGATAAGACAGGCAGGTCGTCGGCGCTCTCGACCTCTACTACACCAACAGGCTTTGCCTCTTAGAGCTCCCCACCATGATGGCGCCGCGAGATGTGCCTGCCAGACAGACCCGCCTAACTTCGGCTTCCCATGCTAACCGTGTGGAACTTCGTATATCCAGGCCGATACCAGCACTCCTTTGTCCCTAGGGTGTCAAGATTGTGGAACAATTTTCAATAGGAGACTTTTCCTAGTTCTACTAATCTTAGACACTTCAAAAATCGGATTAACAAAGCTTCTTTGGGATCCTTATAGCAGCCCCGCTATCTTGGCATTTAGGCTTCTGCCTGCTGGTTGTTTCGGTGTAAAAAACAAAATGTTGCTTGTGCATGGGTAATCATCGTCCAAATACATCCATTACAACTTTATTGCAGGCAGGTCGTCGGCGCTCTCGACCTCTACTACACCAACAGGCTTTGCCTCTTAGAGCTCCCCACCATGATGGCGCCGCGAGATGTGCCTGCCAGACAGACCCGCCTAACTTCGGCTTCCCATGCTAACCGTGTGGAACTTCGTATATCCAGGCCGATACATCACTCCTTTGTCCCTAGGGTGTCAAGATTGTGGAACAATTTTCAATAGGAGACTTTTCCTAGTTCTACTAATCTTAGACACTTCAAAAATCGGATTAACAAAGCTTCTTTGGGATCCTTATAGCAGCCCCGCTATCTTGGCATTTAGGCTTCTGCCTGCTGGTTGTTTCGGTGTAAAAAACAAAATGTTGCTTGTGCATGGGTAATCATCGTCCAAATACATCCATTACAACTTTATTGCAGGCAGGTCATCGGCGCTCTCGACCTCTACTACACCAACGGGCTTTGCCTCTTAGAGCTCCCCACCATGATGGCGCCGCGAGATGTGCCTGCCAGACAGACCCGCCTAACTTCGGCTTCCCATGCTAACCGTGTGGAACTTCGTACATCCAGGCCGATACTACCACTCCTTTGTCCCTAGGGTGTCAAGATTGTGGAACAATTTTCAATATGAGACTTTTCCTAGTTCTACTAATCTTAGACACTTCAAAAATCGGATTAACAAAGCTTCTTTGGGATCCTTATAGCAGCCCCGCTATCTTGGCATTAAGGCTTCTGCCTGCTGGTTGTTTCGGTGTAAAAAACAAAATGTTGCTTGTGCATGGGTAATCATCGTCCAAATACATCCATTACAACTTTATGGACATTGCCAGTAACATGCGATAAATTGGTGGCCAAAAAGAGGTCAAAGCAAATTCGTTATCGCAGAGAGTATCCCTAAAAAAATTCCATTATTGTTATTACTTAGTATATGCAAAGATAAGTGTATAAATACGGACAAATGATTAATTCATCCAGATAATAGATGTAAAAATAATCCGTATGAACTGATGTCTTATTTAATTGATTTTGAAAAGTGACGTAAGTCTTAACGTAACATCATCTGGAATAATATCAAATAAAAGTGTTTGCGGGTGGTCATCTTTTGATGAAATTGTGAACTTATCATTCTAGTCAATAACAAATGGCGTGCAGCTTATCAGTTTAAAAAGGTAGTAAATAAAAAAACGGCCTCAGATGCATCGAAGTGGAGACTCTCATCCGTTGTTATAAATCCTCTCTCTTTTCAAACTACGCACACATCAATTCTAAGATCCTAGAAACATAAAACAACCTGGATTATAAGCGTTTAGGAACGTTTTTGTACGTTTTTTTTTTTGAGTTTTTGATGCTACTTTCTTAATGCAAGCCTTGAACTGGTTATGTTATGTCCTTTCAATTATCCCAAGGAATCGAAGGTCGTTCATAATGACCACTACATATACATATACGAGGATCACTTTTAAAGTAAGAACCGATTGCGCATCGAGGCCGCGCATCCTGTCACGTGACGCCTGTTCAACCCCAGACACTCTGGCTAAGACCCTCACTACGCCGCTATTACGTATTACGTTTCACGTCCCTGTCAGAGTGGGTTGTGTGGTTATACTACTTGGTTTGGTGGCATGCCAATCAGTAAGCCCGCCGATTGTGAAGTGCAATCAGTAATTCTGTTTTTAGACGCAAAGACAGCTGAAATTCACCAGCAGCTTGTTGAATTTGGCTACTAGATAAAACAGCCGGCGGTGCCTGCTCCATAGCGGCTCGCTCTGTTTCATGTTGCGGCAAGGACACAGATGCAACTGGGCATTATTCGTTGAAAATCTTGGGATCATCCATATCTTTTTCCAAAAGTTAAGGAATTTCTTGATGGAAAGCGCTTGTAAAATGATGGCATGTTGAAAAAAATAGTTAGTAACTGATTTAGTGGTCAAGCGGCACCATTCTTTGACCACGGTACCCAAAAGCTGGTGTCAGGATCTAACAGATGTTTAAATGTTTATGGTAACTATGTTGAAATACAAAAAAAATGATTATATTTCAGTTTGTGCTACCATTTTTATTCATAAAGTTTCTCTAACTCCCTTACAAAATAGTTCTTACTTAGACAATGACCATAGAAAATTCCCAGAATACGACGCACGGTGTAACAGAGAAAGAACTTGGTAGCAGGCATTTTCTTAGAGTAATGATAGAAAAGTGCAATGTCATCAACTTATCCCCAGAGGTCGGTCGTTTTCGATGCCCGCATGTAAAGTTCTCCGAATTATCGTGCTAAAATAGTCCTCAATATATTAGTAAAGCAGATACGAAGCCTTGCGAATAAACCGTCAAATGCAACTGATACGTCCTACCTTAAAGCGCGTTGAGTGTCCAACTTGTTTAGCAAAATTTAGGATTATTATAAAAATGCTTTTAACGTTAGATATACCTTCACGTTTTTCTTGTCTGGATTTTCAAAAATATGGTAACTGGTAGCAACATCTATTGTAACTCCGCTTCGCTCATCAGCTTTTTTGAATTATCCTTAATAACAACTCAGTCACCTACCAGTGAATGCTTGCTTAGCTCCAATATGTGCAATGCACGGTTTAGCAGTAACCACAGTAGAAGGAATCGGATCCACCAAATCCCGATTGCATCCAGTTCAAGAAAGGATAGCCAAGGCTCACGGATCACAATGTGGATTCTGCACCCCTGGAATCGTCATGTCGATGTACACCCTGCTCAGGAATTCACCAAAGCCCAGTTTTAAGGAGCTTGAAGTTGCTTTCCAAGGTAAGGGCCTGGACATAGTTTTGAGTCAAGGTACATAGTTTTGATTTTCTTATTCCAATTGCATATATTGTCCACCTGGTACACCCGTCAGTAGAAACATACTGTCAAAATTGCTTTACAGGCAGTATGACTATGCATTTTTTGAAAGGCTATTGGAGCACCCGAAACTGTAGTGAAGTAATATGCTTAACATTTGCGAATTCGCTGATGGTCGAAGTCAATTATAACGATGGATCAGGGAGACAAGGATAAGTTGAGTTTCAGATGTTACATTATATCATAAATGCATGAGCATACTCGGTTGTGAAAGAAACCGCGAAAATCGCCTGGGTACACAAACATCTACTGATGAGTATGACCTTTTTTAGAATTTCTCATCTACTAATAAGGCAGGTAAAGATTTGTAGAGGTCCACATTAGGTTGTGCCATCTTTTTGCAGGAAACCTTTGCAGATGTACAGGATACCGACCAATATTGGAGGGCTACAAGACCTTCACAGAAGAATGGGAGGTAATCCAAAACGGAAACAGGTTGATGCAAGCGAATGGAGGCGCATGTGGAATGGGCGACAAATGCTGCAAGTTACAAAATGTACCTAAAGCTGAATCATCATCCAATGAGGAGAAGCTGTTCGAAAAGAGTGAATTCACACCTTATCATCCATCACAGGAGCCCATCTTTCCCTCAGAACTGAAACTAGTGAGTTGAGTAACCAATAAGAAATTGGAAAGACAAACATTCAAAAAATGTGTATCATCAGCTTCCTGTTATTGCCAAATATTTCCTGAAATTTGCCCAACTTTCCGTCTGTTGTATTAGCTTAAAAATTGTCGATAAGACGCGTGCAGTTTCAAAAACTGGTAGAGCAGCTATTCCTATGGGCGCCCGCAGAAATTATTCTCATAGAGATTTTTGTGAAAATGTACCTGCACCAAATTCTGAAGAGCAGGCGGTAGCAAATTTTCTCAGATGGGAAGAGAGGAGCGCATCTTAAAAATCCCTCACATTGTACACAAAATCGTGCTAAATATGCAAATTTTGAGATCCAACCAAATTTCCAGAGGGGGCAACGGCCTTTCCCTGCCAGCGCACGTGGCTATTCATTGAAGTGATTAGATAATCATACTAAAAGTCATCGACTGTAGGAGGTGATTCGACGGTGGGAGACCTTTTTTCATGCATCTCGTAAACTATATGATATCTTTATAGTTCCTTCTACATCAGTAAATCCACTTATTACAACAAATTATGTCATATACAAGTTTACAGTAGGATCAATACTTTAGGAGCTACAGCGTATCGTAGTTGATAAAAATAAAACAAGTACATTGAATGAATGAATTTTTAATAGGCTACATACCACACATATTTTCATATGTATATATGTATATATATATATATATCCTTGAATTTCTTTGGGTAGAAGGAAAACTATTGCAAAAGTACACTCTTATAACTTAAACTCAAGCTTTTGAAGATCTATGTCTTTATCGTCTCTAGTAAGTCGGCGAGATTGTTGCTGAAATTGTTTTTAAACAACAGTAAAGGGAACGCATAGTCAACGAATAAACTGGACCGATGAGGTTCGATTAGGACAGAATTATTTTATTATTAAATGGCTAAATCATAGCTGTTTTTTTATTTTTCAAGAAGGTTTTTTTTCCTTAAACGTTGATCGATTTTGGAAAAAATTGAAATTTTTTTAAAACTATCAACTATTGAAGATTCCTTCGAGATTTTATCTTTTTTCACACTTATAACCCGGATCTCGTAGGCGGAGCCAGAATGTGTGCATGTTGCATGCACCCGTGTTCCTTCGCCAGAGTCCGTGTGACGTTCCCGCTTTCCCCTGTGTCCCCCTATAGCCCCACGGTACCCATAGGTGTTTAGGCCTTAGGCCTTCGCGGTGGTTGGAGTATAAAAAAAAGTTTTAAGATTTTAAAATTTCTTCCAAAATCAATCAACGTTTAAGGAAAAAAACCTTCTCAAAAATAAAAAAATAGTTTTAATTTTGCCATTTAATAATCAAATAATTCCGTCCTAATCGAACATCATCGGTCCAGTTTTTTATTCGTCGACTATGTGTTCCCGTCACTGTTGTTTAAAAAGAATTTTAGCAACAATCTCACCGACTTACTCCAGACGATGAAGACATAGATCTTCGATAGTTTGAGTTTAAGTTATAATACTTTGCCTTCTACGCCAAAGAAATTCAACGATATTTCCGAAACGTGGTATTCTAGCCTAGTTTTTTATTTAAAAATATTAACAATTTTAGACAGTTTTGTTTGGAAGCGTATATAACAGGGACGGACTCAGGTTATTTTAGCCCCAACATTTTTATGTCATTCTATTTTTGAAATTCAATTTTAGAATTTGAATATTGAATATCGATAAATTGTGCCATTTTAGAATAAAATCATACTGAAAAATTTGTCACATGATAGGAAATGTACTGCGAATTTAAGGCCCGTATCGTCAGTCGTCCCTACAAATGGCTTCCTTGATTGTCATAGTTTTCTATTTTTCCATGTCAGTGCTCTATTTTGAGGTTATGTCACAAACATCTATTTGCATCAAATTGTGCTTGCTTTTGAGTTATATCATGTTTTATCAGCTTGAAATTTCCTACAATTTAAAAGGAAAACATATCTTCACAATAGGAGAGCGCTGACGCTGACACGGGACAAGTGTAATCTAGAAATTTTTGAAGGAGAGAAAGCAGTATGACAATCAAGAAGGCCATAAACGCGCCCTACAATTGTAGGGACGACTGACGATACGGGCCTAAATGAGTTGTTGAATAATTAGCCATGGCAACGAAAAAACTAATTTAATAAAAAACAAAATAAATAATTTTTTTCTACGAACGAAATTGAAATTTGTTTAAAAAAGAAGACATGCAGTTGGATATACTTAAAGCTAGCTTTACAGTAAGTGTTTAAATAAATTCCCATTTTGTTGGATACAGAGTCTCGCTCGACGAACTAATGATTGCGTAGCCCGAAAAGTGGAAAACCTTTTTCTTCTTATTTCATTTGCAGCCTGATGGATTCTTTGAAGTAAATCTTCTTGAGTATTTACTTCAGTCGAGTAAACTAGGTCTTTTAATGACCCCCAAAAATAGAAATCCAATGGATTTAGGTCAGGTGAACGCAGCGGCCACGCTATAGGACCTCATCGGCCTAACCACCTGTCTGGAAAATTGACATTCAACCAATTTCGAACATTGCGCCCAAAATGTGGAGGGGCGCCATCATGTTGAAAAAACATATTTTCTTGAAACTGCTGGCGCACATCCAATGGTATTATATCCATGAGCTCATTCTGAAGAAAGTTCAGAATTAAGACGATTGGGAAGTACAATAGGCCCAATTACTTGATCCTCAATTACTCCTGCCCATAAGTTCAATGAAAATCTATGTTGGAAATTTGTACGGCGAACAACTTTTGGATTTTCATCTGACCAGTGATGCATGTTGTGGAAATTAAAAGCACCATTCCTAGTAAATATTGACTCATCCGACCATAATATTCTAGGAATAGTGTTTTCATTTGCTAATATCCACTGGCAAAACTCGATTCGTGGTAAAAAATCTGCCTCCGTTACATGCTGCACCCGTTTAAAATGATAAGGATGTAATCCTTGCATTCTTGTCATTCTTTCTATCTAAAATTATTATTTTACATTTCGTATGATTATTTTATTATTTTCAAACATATTTAAAGCAGACGTGTAGCGGAAGTAGGAGGTTAGAGACTGCATTCCGATTGTTTCCCTAAAATGCCTTCTCATCTTTAATAATTTTTAATATGTTCGGGTGTATTGATATTTTTAACACGTAACGAAGGTATCTGTCGTTATCAACAAGCCCAATGTCTCCGTCCTTTGGTTTTTATACTTATAACAAGTTCTATCTTCTCTACGTTCGTTTTGAAACACCTTGTGGCTGCAACCTCAACGACGAAATCCTGATGAAGACTCCATAGAGAATGCCGAAAGCTTGATTTTATCGTCAAAAGAGTCAACTTAAGCCAAAAAATTTGCCAATTTCCGAATTAACAATTAATTGTATTTTGTGCCCAACTGGTCGTTGGCTTTGGCAATGACTACTGCTCACGTCTCATATATATATATAATCTAAAACCTTATATACCCGTAGGTGTAAGGTGCAATTACATTATTTCATTCTCTAAACTAATTAGTTATTATATACAAATTTAGCCCAGTCTTTCTTATTTCTCGCCCGGCGCACTGCTTCGTTCCAACTTATTCCCCTGTTCTTGAGTATTTTCGCCAATCCATTATTCCACGAATTTTTCGGGCGCCCTCTTGCCCTTTTCTGTTGAACTCTTGCTTTGGTTTTCTTCAATCCTTTGTCGTACAGATTTCACTCCCAGCTCTTCTCTAATAACTTCGTTTCTAATTTTGTCTTTCCTAGTGACTCCTTCGACTGTCCTGAGGTATTTCATATCAATAGCCTCTAACTTGCTTTTTTGTCTGTTCGTTAATACCCAGCTCTCGCCTCCAAATATCAATATGGGTCTGAATACTGTTCTGTACACGCTCATCTTTGTTTTTCTGCTTATCATATTCTTCCTTAAGAAAGATGTTTTCAATTTGTGATAGAGCCTAGATGCGTTCATTAATCTTTCGTTGATTTCCTCTTAAATTGTTCCATCGCCTTGTACTACCACTTAGATATTTGAAAGCTTCGGCTTGTTCTATACGTGCGCCCTTGGTAACTATATTCATTCCATTCCCCTCTGCTGTCATCATCACTTTTGTTTTAGATACGTTAATATTCAAACCTCTCGATAATTCCTGGATCCAGATTTTAAGGTTATCTTGTAAGTCTTTTGGGGTATAGCGCACAATAACAGGTCGTCCGCGAATGGGCACTCTGAAATATTTATTGGCCTCATTTTGTTGAAACCGACATGTACTTTTTTAATTTGGCTTTTGACGGCCTTTATTACATGATCCATAATCATAATGAATAATATCGGGCTCAGGACTCCTCCCTGTCTCAGCCCATCTCCTATGATAAATTCCTCAGACGTAATGTTATCCTTTCTATGATGTCCCACACAATTTTTCTTGGAATATTGTCGAATGCTTTTTTCAGGTCTAAGAAAGCTAGGCTTAGTTCCGTGTTCATTGTATTACATTATTCGATTCATTAATTCATTATACAGGGTGTTCCATAATTATTGCGACAAAATGATAGGGGTTGTAGAGGGCATAAAAATATGCAATTTTGCCTTATAAACCCCTGTTCGTAAATATGCCGTTTGAGCACTACCGCTAATTTTACCTTAAGAGAGACGAGCCTCGCGAATCTACGCCCAACGCTTTCCAGAACGTCCTCATCCGCATCACGCCATTTTTGCAAGGATTCATTGACGTGTTTGTGTCAGTGGCAGCATCAGACACCTCGCGGGAGCAGGGCGGCCCTTCAGGAAGCGCACAGCAGAATTTGAGGAAACGATTATGCACCATGTGGAGGCCAATCCGCGTACAAGCGTGCGTGCTATTGCACATGATATGGCAGCGTCTCAAACTACTGTTTGGCGGGTTGTCCATGACCAGCAACTACACCCAAACCACCTTTTAAAAATCCAAGCCATGGGTCCAGAAGATTATCTGCCGCGTCGACGTTTTTGTCGTTGGTGGCTGCAGCAGAAGTTGAGGCAACCAAACTTTGGTCGTTACGTTTTGTTCACTGACGAGTCCTGTTTTACAAAGGACGGTTATTTTAATAGCCGTAACAGTCACATTTGGGATGAAGAAAACCCTCAAGCCATAGCCATCCATAGAGACCAACATCAGCTTTCAATTAACATCTGGTGGGGCATTGTGGACGAGCATATCATCGGGCCATATTTGCTTCCACCACGTTTGGATGGGCATGCTTATGGTCGATTCTTACAGCATGTGCTACCGGAACTATTAGAAAATGTGCCAATGAACATAAGAGCCAACATGTGGTTTTAACACGATGGCGCTCCAGCCCACTTTTCTTTACAAGTGCGGCAGTATTTGGACGACAAATTTCCAAATAGGTGGATAGGCCGAGGTGGCCCTGTGCCTTGGCCTGCGCGGTCACCCGACCTGACCCCACTGGATTGCTTTGTTCTGGGGCCATCTGAAAGCTTTAGTATACGAAACTCCTGTTCCCAACCAACAAGAGCTACTGGGAAGAGTGATGGCCGCGTCCGCACATATTCAGGACATACCGGGGGTATGCCACAGAGTTCGCCGATCATTGAACAATCGTGTATTGAACTAGGTGGAGGACACTTTGAGCAATTACTGTAGGTAAGCCGTTTCAAGAAACTGATGTTTTTTTTTTGCTGCAGCCCAAACGGCATATTTCCGAACAGGGGTTTATAAGGCAAAATTGTTCATTTTGATGCCCTCTACAACCCCTATCATTTTGTCGCAATAATTATGGAACACCCTGTATATATATATATATATATAATGAAGTATATAAACGCCATTTGTCATGCACGGTGTTTAACAGCTGACCCAATTACAAAATTCGGAATACTTGCTCGAGGCCCTGACACACCACTAGTTCCAATACTGATAATGATAACCAACGGAAGGTACACGGAGTAACCAAGTGTAGTGAATCCTCAAAACGCCTATTTTCATTATTTCACGTGACTAGTGATATGATCGTCGCAATACAATTTGTCCCCTGTCGCGATTTTTATGTACGACCATTCATGGGATTTTACTCTTTCTTGACGACTAGTTTTTTAGCTGTTTCAACTGAAAATAGATCTACTATACATGTTCTAATCAGTAACCAGAATTAGTGCATAACACTTTACTTTTTTCAGGTTGATACGTTTGATAGTGAGTACGTTGTTTTTCCCGGAAAGAACGTCACTTGGTACAGACCAACAACCTTGAAGTCACTCCTTCAACTGAAAAATAAATTTCCAGAAGCAAAGATCGTAGTAGGCAACACCGAAGTAGGTATAGAGATGAAATTCAAGCAGATGGTCTACCCTGTCATCATACAACCAACTGTAATCCCTGAAATGACCCGAATCGTTAAAACAGAAAAAGGTGTTGATATTGGAGCCTCAGCAGCGTTAATCGAAGTAGAACATTTCCTTAGAGAAGTCATACGAATTGAACCGGAACACAAGACCAGGATATACCAAGGCATGGTCGATATGCTGAACTGGTTCGCGGGGAAGCAGATCAGAAGCGTAGGAGCTCTGGGGAGTAATGTTATGACTGGTAGTCCAATTTCTGATATGATTCCGACGCTGATGGCCTGCAAAGTTGTCTTGGAGCTCCAAAGCATAGATTCAGGTAATATCGTTCAACATAGACTGAATAGGACCTGTTTTTTTCCGCCCCGTAATCATAACCAACTGTATACAGCGTTGTTTCATAGATTTTAGCAATCATCAGTCCTGTACAGGTGCAGTTATTGGAGATGCACACAATGGAAAGTAAACAACCGAAAAACTAAAAAAAATCACTATTGCAGTGTGTGACGCTGCCACCTATGAGTAGCTCATCAAACGCGGTACTACCAAAACCTACGTCGGTTACAGGAAACTATTGTTTCCTGACAGCTTTGATTGATAGTTCACTTCGATCAAATGGACAGTCGTCGTCCACCACATGGTAACGAGCTGTAAAAATGATCCCAAAACCTGGCGCCTGGCGTACCAGTGGTGCTTTGACATGGTTGCCATGTTGGTAGATTTTTATTTGGGGAACTCTTTGGGGATATAAAGAGTAATACTATACGCGGATAGAAAGCATCCCCCACTCTTTGAACCAAATCTACCTCTTTCTATTAACTGTAATTTTGATGATTTTTAAAAAGTAGAGATTTTGAGGCATTTTTGTGCTTGATTTGGAAAAATTCTGTCCAATCCATTTGGTAACGCTGTGCTTTGACAGATCCGCCATACTAACACCAGCAATTGAATTGGCATTTAGTTCATTGTAAATTAACTCAACTAATTTTGCTTATTTCTCGTAAATCCTTGGTGTAAACGGCCGGAAATCTGTTAAACATTACTGTTGGCTATTTATGAAGAACCTCACCTTGTGCGGTGATAATTTGTTGAAAGAGAAAACAGTAACATGTTCATTGTTTGGAATTCCTGCTATTCTCAAAAATACTAGTGAACAACTCAATCGTTTATCCAAAGACTGTCCACATTTATGGATTAAGTCATTGATAGAAGAATAATCAAATTATGCAAGAATTTGTTCAAGGTAACATCTAGAGAAACAAAATTGAACTAAACGAATAGATTCGCCCGCGAAAAATGTGATTTATGACTATGAAAACAGGGGTTATTCGTAAAACCTGTAGGTTTGCATTTAGCTGTGTAGCTTTTGAGGTTCTACGCGGGAGATTTCACAAATTCATTTAGTATCAAACTGTGGTATTAGCACAAGTTGTCAGTTTGAGATTAAGTTCTTACTTAACCTCAGATACCCTGAGTATGCGCAGTAGCTGGAACTCAGATCACTGCGCCCTCAGTCAGGCGACAAGTTTTGGGTTCGTTTTTTATTGTTTTACAGGTTCTCCTGAGATGTAGGCTCGATGAGCTATGTTCCATCGAAACGGACTGTCAATCAGCAACAAATAATTTTTTTCCAAAAATATATATGTCATACATTGACATTACCAAGCCTGAGCTATTTCGAAAAAGCAGAATTTCCTATGTAGGCCTGGAAATTGTCAAATAGCTATTTGTTTCATATACCATATTTATCGCAAAATCATTTTTATCTTTTCCTGACTTTATTTGTCATGGAATGTAAAAATAAATTGCATCTTGCTATTGCTACTATTTATCCTCTACAAAAAGGAGTAGTCCAGCTTTCAACTATAGGTATCTTCTTTAGAAATCTATCACAAACATAGTCTTTTCATAAGGAGCGCTATATTGAAATTTTGTACATTTAAATGGAGTTTTCAGCATACCTTTTTATTATCTTATAATTTTCGTTCCAACAACAAATTCATGCCCAACTCAGAAAATACATCGCTGAATTTAGGACTGAAAAATTCATTTACATGTAGTGTCCATATGGAAAAACAAAGTTGGTGATAAAAGCCGAAAGAAGAAACATCGAATTGAATATTTGACTACACCATCTTCTAGAAGGGAAAAAATGACAATAACAACATGCAATATATTTTAAGAACCCATCTCAAATAAAGTCAGGAAAAAATAAGAATGAGTTTGCGATAAATCTGGTATATACAGGGTTTGTCCGAAAAGTAATAGGACTGAGTCGAATAAAAAAAATTATTTAGCCAATCGTTACAATTCTTTAAAAACATTCAAAATAGGCCTCTTCTGCGTCGATGCAGCGCTGCCAGCGCGATTTCCAAGCATTGAAGGCGTCACGGAAGGCATTCTCCGGAATAGCCTTGAGAGCCGCCTTGCATGCTGCTTGGATCCCCTCTGTCGTCTGAAAATGCTTGCCTTTCAACGGCCTTTTCAGGCGAGGAAACAAAAAAAAGACCGGGGGGCCACATCCGGGCTGTAGGGCGGCTGCGGAAGCTTTGGGATGCCGGCCTTGGTCAGGTAGCTATTCACAAAAAAGGCGGTGTGAGCCGGGGCGTTGTCGTGGTGCAACTTCCAGTCGGCTGCGATGTCTTGTCGGACCCGACTGACCCTTCGTTTGAGTCTTCTGAGCACTTCCACGTAAAACTTGGCGTTGATGGTTTGTCCAGGAGGAACAAATTCATGGTGGATGATGCCTTTGATGTCAAAAAAGACAATGAGCATCGTTTTCACTTTGGATTTGCTCATTCTTCCCTTTTTTGGGCGAGGAGACGCCGTCGTGTGCCACTCGGAAGATTGCCTCTTTGTCTCGGGATCATACTGAAAGATCCACGACTCGTCACCTGTGATTACGTTATTCAAAAACTGGGGGTCAAGTTCAAATTTTCTTGGCACACTTCCACTCGTCGCAATTTCAAATGCTGTGTCACAATGTCATGAACCACAGATTTTGGTAAATTTAACATCTGGGAAATTAAACGAATACTTAGTCGACTGTCTGAGTTCACACACGAGTCACATTATCGGTCGAAGGTCTTCCAGCACGGTCTTCATCAGCGACCTCTTTCCGGCCCTCCAAAAAGGCCTGGTGCCACCGAAACACACCACTTCTTGCTAAAGCAACACCTGGGTAAGCCTGCTTGATCATATCAAACGTCTCTGTCGTAGATTTACCGAGTTTCACACAAAATTTAATCGCGTAACTCTGCCCTAACGAACGCTGCATTTTCGGCTTGCACCACTCACAGAAATACGTCGCGCGAAAATGCCTGTCCTGACTCTCCAAGTGCTCGGAGACAACTGACCAGCCGCTCATTCATTAGCTAGGAACGCCCTGTACCGAATTCAGTCGGTGCGCGCTCGCTCCGAAGTACAGTCATGGCGGAATAAAATGAGTGCTACTACTTTCCGGACAAACCCTGTAAAACAAGCAATCTAATAATTTTAAGGCCTACCTAGGAAATTCTATTTTTTTAAATAACTAAGATTTGGCAATGTCAATAACACATTATACATTTTTTAAATCGGAATTAAAAACTCTATTCACTTGTGCAAAAGCCCAATATGGCGTCTTCATGAAAGAATAAAGGTGATGATGGAGGACAAGAGGCGACATATCATATCATAATTCTATGATTTTGGGAAAATTTGTTTTTTTTTTCATCTTAGAGACTTTTAAGCGACTTTTTTTATAATCCAGCTACCACGAAGACCTAAGAAGGCCTTAACACCCGTGGGATACCATGGGGCTATAGGAGGATACTTCGTATCTCTTGCCATTTCCCAGATCCCAATCGTGAGGGTCGAATTTGGAACTCCCTCAATAATGTATTAATCAATGGCAATATACAATGCATGTCGGTTCGCATCATATCCTCGGATAGCATCGAACTTTTTGTAAAACTGAAGTAGACAAGTATTGCATTCAATATGTGAATTATGTAAATTGAACATCCCAAATTCTCCACAGGTATAAGAACTGTAATCCTGGACAATAACTTCTTCGTGGGATACAGGAAAAGTATAGTCAGACCAGACGAAGTGTTGGTGAAGATCAAAGTCCCTTTTACAAAAGAAGACGAATATTTCTACTCATTCAAACAAGCTAGAAGAAGAGAAGACGATATTGCTATAGTGAACGCTGCCGTGAAGGTAACTTTCGAAGAAAAATCTAATATCATTGAAAGCATTGGTTTCGGTTTTGGAGGTTTGTCATTCAAAACAGTCACTGCTCCAAAAACGGAACAAACTTTAAAAGGCATGCCATGGAACAGGCATACTCTCGAAATTGCTTATTCTTGTCTTTTGGAAGATCTACCATTGGATCCCGGTGCTCCAGGAGGTATGATCCAGTACAGGTAAGAAATATCCCCATAAGTCCAAATAAACCTTCAATGGATGATAAGTATTAGGATTGAAGTGAAATAGGACAGTGTTGTTCTTAAAGAAAATATTTAAAAAAAAGATTTACTACAAATTAAGGCATATTATGATAAAGTTTTTTAATAGAAACATATCATTGCTTATTGAAAAAATGTAAATTGTCGTCCCTATTATCGATCTGAAACTTTTATCTTGGGACTTATCAAAAAAGCTACTTTCCAAGTGACAGCTAAAGTGTACTTCGAATTATGAAAACATTATTAAAAAATGCACTACTTTTGTAGCAATTTTTATCGCTAAAAATAATCCTGTAGCTTTTTAAAACGGCCATATCAAATCGTTTTTAAACTATTGTGAAATGCACATACATTTAGGTATGTTAAAACACGGTGTGCTTTTTGCATACAAGCGAAAATGTAGAAAAATGAAATATGCAAAATTTGAACATTTATGGCCAAATTCCTAAAAAACCTCATCGAGTTTTCTGTAGATTTCATACAGGTTTTTTCATATGCCTACCTTACCCGAAATGACCATTCGTTGTCTGGCTCTGTAAGTGTCCCAAACGAAGTGTTTGAACAAAAATAATGTTCTAAATCACTTTTCTATTCTTGTAGAAAATCGCTCAGCTTAAGCCTATTCTTCAAAGCCTTCCTGGCTATATCACAAAAGCTCCAAAGGTACATTCCCGACATGGCCTTAGACGACAGAGAGGTGAGTGGTACCTACGGATTCCACGGCCAGGAACCCAAAAGTTCCCAGTACTTCACTGTAGTACCCGACACACAAGAAAAACATGATGCCTTACAAAGGCCCATCATCCACATGTCCGCTTACAAACAAGCTACGGGGGAGGCACAATATGTTGACGATCTACCATACAGAGAAGGAGAGTTGTACTGTTCTTTGGTTCTAAGCACCAAAGCTCACGCGAAGATACTCAACATCGATGAGACGGAGGCATTGAAGATGGAGGGCGTTCATGGATTTGTGTCCGCTAGGGATATTAAGAAAGGGCACAACCACTTTGGACCAGTCTTTCATGACGAGAAGGTTATATATGACGAAGAGGTTACTGCGCAAGGTCAGATATTGGGAGTCATAGTGGCTGATAATCAGCTGATAGCGCAAAAAGCTGCAAAGAAGGTAAGCCATTACTGATTTTGAGCTGTCTTTAGAGGAAGTTTATAAACTTGAAGCGAACTTTCAAGTGGTTTTTCCCTGTAGTTATTAAACTGCTACGATTGTTTTCTAACAGTCCATTTATTTAGAAGATCTTAGACGTATAAGTTTTTGAACAATATCAAAATATTTCCAACAGAAGTTCACAATATAAAGCTTGTTAATCGGCTACTTTCAACTAGCATGCTGGGACTTAGTCTTCCTTTTTAACTGCAGAGCCACTTACGTAGCAATTCAAAATCCAGAATAATATGACGTGCGCTTATTTTGGATTCTTTAGTTGTTTTTAAAGATCATCACTTTTCCTTTGTTTGTCCCGTTGATGAATTTCTATGTTTCACTGGCCGCAAAGTAAAACCCCAGATGTAGAATTGAACATTTCCTGATGTTTTGCAAAGTACAAATCAAAAATGACATTGAATTTGCAGGGTCAAGTAATTTGGTGTATTATTTCCGCCAGGGGAAAGTGACATTATGTCGGTTTTTTTGACATTATATAGGTTCTCTTACAAGACGTGAACTTGAAACTAGCTGTCATTCATATCATGCTCACTTGTAGCATGCGCGCAATGCACTATTTGCGCACTAACCTACACCTACCTAGTCAACAAGTTGACATTTTATCGGCTTTTTTGACATTATATAGGTTTTTTACGAAATAACCCTGCGGGGTCCTAACTCTCGCAAAGAAAGAAGTAGAATAGCTAGAAGAAAATGTTCGATAATTAAGGACAAGAAGCGAAACGTCATATTGAAATCCTTAAAACAATAATTTTCAAAAATTTTCAATTTTTGTAATTCTCCAACACTCACCGAAAAATGAACATTTCAGTATAAATAATAAAAAAAACTATATGAGTTATGGCAACTCGAATTAAGTAAATACAATCATGAAAAGTGCGAAACTACTATAGACATTAAAAAACAGCAATTTTTGTTTTGTTACCCGTATTGCCAGATTTCCAAAATGATATTAAACATCGGTATTAGAGCATTTAATTCTTAACAACTAGTCTGTCAAACCAGAGTAAGTCAAATAATAATTCCTTAATTAAATGATGATTTTTTTCTAACAACGCGATGTTGTCATAAGGCAATTGACAAAAGCAGAAGCTAAATACTAAGGCCCGTATCATCAGTCGTCCCTACAATTGTAGGGCGCGTTTATGGCCTCCTTGATTGTCATACTCCTTTCTCTCCTTCAAAAATTTCTAGATTACACTTGTCCCGTGTCAGCGTCAGCGCTCTCCTATTGTGAAGATATGTTTTCTTTTTAAATTGTAGGAAATTTTAGGCTGATAAAACATGATATAACTCAAAAGCAAGCACAATTTTATGCAAATAGATGTTTGTGACATAACCTCAAAATAGAGTTCTGACACGGAGAAGTAGAAAACTATGACAATCAAGGAGACCATAAAGGCGCCCTACAATTGTAGGGACGACTGACGATACGGGCCTAAGGGCCTAAGGGCCGTATCGTCAGTCCGTCCTACAATTGTAGGGCGCCTTTATGGCCTACTTGATTTTCATAGTATTTTCTCCTCCAGAAAAGCTGGGGTATTTCTAGATTTCTATTGCTCCGTGTCAGAGTCAGCGCCCTCCTATTGTGAAGTTGTTTCCTTTTTGAACAGTAGGAAATTTCATTCTGATGAAAGAGATGATATGAATCAAAAGCATGAACAATTTGATGCAAATAGACATTTGTGACATAACCTCAAAATAGAACGCCTTTCTGAAGGACAGGAGAAACTATGAGAATCAAGGAGGCCATAGAAGTGTCCTTGAATTTCAGTATTTGCTCTCCTTCCAGAAGGCTGGAGTATTTCTAGGTCTGTACTCTTACGTGTCAACGCTCTCCTAATTAAATAAAAAATAATGTTTTCTTTTTGAATCGAAGGAAATTTCAGGCTAATAAGACAGTTGATAAAAATCAAAAGCATGAAAAATTGATGCAAGTTAGATATTTGTAACATAACCTCAAAATGGAACACCTTTCTTAGGGCTGAATCGGCAGTCGTTCCTACAACTGTAGGCCCTTAAGGACAGGAAAAACTATGGAAATCAAGGAAGTCATAAAGGCGTCCTACAATTGTAGGAAGGACTGCCGATACGGACCTAAAGCACTCGCCATTTCCAACTGAAAGACTGGAATCGAACAAGGTTGTAAAAAATTCGTAGTTTCATCCAGTTATTAAAATTATCATTTAATCAAGTTGTTATTGTTTGACCTGCGTCGGATTGTCCGTCTATTTGTTAGGAGTCAAACGCTCTCGCATTCAGTTTTCTCAATTTTTCGAGCTAGACACAGCTTTGTTCTAAGGCACACAGGAACTGAAAACTATACTGTTTTTAGCACAGCTGTTCTTATATTTTGTATAGTATTTTCTCAGTTTTTATGAATACATTCACTCAATTTGAGTATACTCTACAAAAGTCAATCACACTCTCACAGTTTTCTCATTGTTCAGACTGAACTGTCCAATTTCAGGTAAATCTGAAAAATTACAAATATTAAAAAATCTCTAAAACGTTTTTGCCTATACATATACAGAACGTAATTTGTTGCTTATTGGGCTCCCTACAACTTTCTGGAAGGAATTCGTCGAATTACTAGAATAAGGACAAATGGAACATGGAGATATTGACGGGATCCATCAAAGTACATAATATACATGAATGACTAGTTAAAATATTGATCCCATTTATATCTTCAATGTGAGAGCTCAACTAGCATTTGGTGACCACATATCCTTCAAAAATAAGGAAGGGTATAGAATATGATAATTCAAATTATTTGCAATTGCATAAGCTACTTAAAAATCTTTTTTCCAGGTAAAAGTAACCTATGAAGATCTTCCAGTAATTATATCAGTCGAGGATGCGATTAAGCACAATTCCTACCTAGAGCACAAACATAATAAAATAGTTCAGGGAGATGTAGAAGAAGTGTTCAAAACCACACCATATGTGCTGGAGGGGGAATGTAGAATGGGAGGCCAGGAGCACTTCTATCTGGAGACGTGCGCATGTTTGGTGATTCCCAAGCCAGAAGATGATGAGTTGGAAATATTTGCATCGACGCAAAATCCGACAGAGATTACGGTGAGTAGACTACTTAAGGGCCACGCAGACGTTTCTTGAGGATTGATTGCCGTTTGAGGAATGATTTATCCTTGGATTTTAAACAATCAATAACGCTTCCTCGAGGAACATTCAAGGGAGGATTTCATATTTGCATCCTACAGTAGGCTGTAACATTTCGAAATCAGGTCCATTTTCCACTTTTCATGGTTTTTAATACTACCAAGATTTCGAAATTTTCATCATTATAGTAATTTACATTATTTTCAAAATTGTCTCTGAAAGTTGTAATAAATTATGGCGCGAAAATGTTCTCGGTTGAGTTCCACTTTTCTAATGATTTGGTGACACTTAAAAATTCACTGTAGTGAGAACAAAAATGAAATATTTCAGCCGCAGTAAAGAATCAACGTTGACGGATTTTGGTTCTTGACATCCTTTACGATCGGTTACGATGCCTAGAGTACGGAGACCTGTACGATTTCGTCAACTTAGTGAGTTTGATAGGGGCCGTATAGTGGGACTTCGGGAAGCTGAACTTTCTTTTCGGGCAATTGCAGTTAGAGTGCAAAGAAGTGTAGACACTGTGGTTAGGTGTTGTCAGGCATGGCTTCGAAAAGGCCGTACGCAAAGAGCAAGGGGCACTGGACGCCGCCGTAGAACAACAGACCGTGAAGATCGCCGCCTAAGATTATTGGCCTTAAGGGACCGTTTCTCCACTACCAGGTCCATTGCAAATGAATGGTTTGCAGAACACGGAAGACCTGTTGGCATGCGAAGTGTTTACCGACGAATGAGAAGTTTTGGCTTGTTTTCATACCGGCCACACTGGGTCCTCCCTTTAACTCGAGAACACCGACGTAATCGCCTTGAGTGGTGCAGACAACGGTCGCTCTGGGATCAAGAATGGATCAGTATTATCTTTAGTGACGAGTCTCGATTTTGTTTAGGCATGCACGATGGTCGTGCCCGACTACATGTTGCAAGAGACACAATAGACTTCTTTCAACATAATGATGTCACATTGTTACCATGGCCACCAAGATCTCCCGACTTATCCCCAATTGAGCACGTGTGGGATATGATGGGTAGGAGATTGCTCAATTTGCAACGTCCTCTTCAGACTCTAGAAGCACTTCGAGAGGAGTTGGTGGTTGCCTGGAATGAGATACCACAGGATTACATTGACCACCTGATCAGAAGCATGCCTAGGCGCGTTGGAGAATGCGTAGCACATCAGGGTGCATCCACACATTATTAAAGGTCAAAGGGCTTTAAAGCAGTGCAATCATTTTGAAATTTTTATCATTTACTTATTATGCTTCATTAAGTACTTATACAAAATTTTATTAAAATAAAACCATTTAAACTGGGTGTTCGGATTTATATGTCACTTAGTATATTACAAGGCCGATAGTAAGTGTTTCTATAACCGGCGAATAGTAAACATATGCTACCAGAGCGTAAGAAAGTTAATTCAGATAGTAGATGTATTCAAAGTCAAGATTTTGGTCAAATCAACAATACTTTCTCCACTGATATATTCATTCTATTCTACAGTCTTATGTCAGGGTACAAGGATGCTCATGGCCGCTGAACAATAGGAATAGGAAAAATAGGAGTTAGGCACAAGGTAATGTCACAGCGCAATGGCAGTCGGTCATTCTGGACGCTGGCCAAGAAAATTGAAAAGAACTTGCTTTTCTCCGCATGACCTTCTCACTCTATACAAGGCCCAGATAAGGCCTAGCCTCGAGTATTCCTCACACGTATGGGGTGCTGCCGCCCCGACTATATTATTTATGCTCGATGCTGGCCCGAGGAGGGCTGTCCGTCTGATCGATGACTCTTCTCTAACAGACAGTCTCTGGACCCTTTCGCAACGGCGAGCCGTCGGCGTTCTAGCTGTCTTCTACCGCTACACCAACGGGCTTTGCTTCTCAGAGCTCTCTTTCATGATGTTGCCGCGCGATGTGTCTGCCAGACTGACTCGCCTGACTTTCACCTCCCATTCTAACCGTGTCGAACTTTCGTACGACTGCTCCTTTGTCCCGAGGGTGTCGAGATTATTGAAAAATCTACAAGTGGAAGCTTTTCCCAGTTCTACTAACCTGAACCTCAGGCAGTTCAAAATCTGGTTAACAAAATTTCTTTGGCATGAACATAGTAGCCGCGGTGTTCCGGCATTTAGGCTTCTGCCTGCGTGGCTGCTTCGGTATAAAAAAATAATAATTGACTATACCTATTGATATTTTCTAAATTTCCAAAAATTTCATGATTTTCAAAATATGCAAAACTACAAACTTTTCAAAACTGTTAAAATTTGCAAGCTCTTCAAAGCGTTCAACATCCCTGTTGCAAATTTCCATTATTTTGCAAATTGTCAGAGTTCTCAAAATCTTCAAGGCTTTGAAAAGCAAGGTTTACGTCAGTACTGATTTGAAAAAACATTTTCGGGGAAGTGAACAAAGTTGAACCCCTGTGCCTCTGTGTGTTATTTTAAATGCAGTGGTAGACTCCACGAGTTTGTGCAACGAAATGGAGGACATTTAAACAACGTAATAATCTTTGAGAAATAAATTATACACATTGGCCGCTTCATTGACAATAGAAACATTTTTTTTTATTCAATCTGGAAATCATAAATCTTCTGCGGAACATCCCGTATAGAAGGGCTTTTTCAGAAATGGTGCACATTCACCGTTTTCTGTTTTGAAAGCAGGTTAGGCCAGTTTTTCAAAATCTGATATGTTTTGGATATCAACATATCGACATGCAAATGTTAGTTTGCATGGTTTTAGCGTTTAATGCACTTTCACCATTTCTGCGAAACACAAAAGTAACGGAACGGTTATGTATTTTTTCCAAGTAAGTGCAACTAGGTCTGCCGATGTTAGAGTTACCTGAACTGCCGATCTTCTTAATTTCTTAAATTCTTAAATTGTATATTTGTGATATAATCCAAAGAAACGCAAGAATAGAGCTATTTAACCCCCTCCCCCCTTAGCAGCATACGAAAGTTCGACACGGTTAGAATGGGAGGTGAAAGTCAGGCGAGTCAGTCTGGCAGACACATCGCGCGGCAACATCATGAAAGAGAGCTCTGAGAAGCAAAGCCCGTTGGTGTAGCGGTAGAAGATAGCTAGATCGCCGACGGCCCGCCGTTGCGAAAGGGTCCAGAGACTGTCTGTTAGAGAAGAGTCATCGATCAGACGGACAGCCCTCCTCGGGCCAGCATCGAGCATAAATAATATAGTCGGGGCGGCAGCACCCCATACGTGTGAGGAATACTCGACGCTAGGCCTTATCTGGGCCTTGTATAGAGTGAGAAGGTCATGCGGAGAAAAGCAAGTTCTTTTCAATTTTCTTGGCCAGCGTCCAGAATGACCGACTGCCATTGCGCTGTGACATTATCCTGTGCCTAACTCCTATTTTTCCTATTCCTATTGTTCAGCGGCCATGAGCATCCTTGTACCCTGACATAAGACTGTAGAATAGAATTAATATATCAGTGGAGAAAGTATTGTTGATTTGACAAAAAACTTGACTTTGAATACATATACTATCTGAATTAACTTTCTTACGCTCTGGTAGCATATGTTTACTATTCGCCGGTTATAGAAACACTTACTATCGGCCATGTAATATACTAAGTGACATATAAATCTGAACACCCAGTTTAAATGGTTTTATTTTAATAAAATTTTGTATAAGTACTTAATGAAGCATAATAAGTAAATGATAAAAATTTCAAAATGATTGCACTGCTTTAAAGTCCTTTGACCTTTAATAATGTGTGGGTGGACCCTGATGTGCTACGCATTCTCCAACGCGCCTAGGCATGCTTCTGATCAGGTGGTCAATGTCCTCCTGTGGTATCTCATTCCAGGCAACCACCAACTCCTCTCGAAGTGCTTCTAGAGTCTGAAGAGGACGTTGCAAATTGAGCAATCTCCTACCCATCATATCCCACACGTGCTCAATTGGGGATAAGTCGGGAGATCTTGGTGGCCATGGTAACAATGTGACATCATTATGTTGAAAGAAGTCTATTGTGACTCTTGCAACATGTGGTCGGGCATTATCGTGTTGGAAAGTTGGATCTGCCAGGGTGTCAAGATAGGGTAAAAGATGGGGTTCTAGAACTTCGTGGATATAACGCTGCGCGTTCATGTTACCTCTGATGAAGATTAAAGGTGACCTGGAACCATAAGCTATAGCACCCCAAACCATAACTCCAACAGTGTGATGAACATGTCTTTCAACAAAAAGCTGTGGATTCCTCCTTTCACCACGTCGCCTTCTAACCCTAGCACGACCATCGTGCAAGCCTAAACAAAATCGAGACTCGTCACTAAAGACAATACTGTTCCATTCCTGATCCCAGAGTGACCGTTGTCTGCACCACTCAAGGCGATTACGTCGGTATTCTCGAATTAAAGGGAGGAGCTAGTGTGGCCGGTATGAAAACAAGCCGTGTTCTGCAAACCATTCATTTGCAATGGACCTGGTAGTGGAGAAACGGTCCCTTAAGGCCAATAATCTTAGGCGGCGATCTTCACGGTCTGTTGTTCTACGGCGGCGTCCAGTGCCCCTTGCTCTTTGCGTACGGCCTTCTCGAAGCCATGCCTGATAACACCTAACCACAGTGTCTACACTTCTTTGCACTCTAACTGCAATTGCCCGAAAAGAAAGTCCAGCTTCCCGAAGTCCCACTATACGGCCCCTATCAAACTCACTAAGTTGACGAAATCGTACAGGTCACAGGTCTGCGTACTCTAGGCATCGTAACCGATCGTAAAGGATGTCAAGAACCAAAATCCGCCAACGTTGATTCTTTACTGCGGCTGAAATATTCATTTTTAGAGCGTTAGTGAATTAAAAAAAAGCAGTATAAAAACCGGAATGTCCAACAGATAAGACTGAAAATTTTTTCACTTGTTATTTACAGTAAGATAAATACATTCACCAACTTTTATTAAAATAAAACCATTTAAACTGGGTGTTCGGATTTATATGTCACTTAGTATATAATGAACATAATTGAAGAAATTGTAGATTTATGTTTATTTATTCATTTTTAATAATCAAGGACAACGTTCGTACGCCCTGGCATTATCTGCATCAGGGAAAGAGACTAAGAATCTATGATATTCCTAATAGGCGCGTAGAATTACTGGGCTCAGAAAATTATAGACATGCCGGTTTTTGACCTTTGGGTCCGCCGACACTGCCGCGATTTTCAAAAACTACAAAGCCTTGTCGGTCTTAGCATAATAGTGAGTTTGTAAGAACATCAAAATACAAACGGTACCTTCCAAGTCACAGACGGGCCAAGGATTAGCGGACAGACAGACAGAACGACCGACAGACGGAAACGAGTGGCATGGTTCTTCGAGATGTAGATCTTATACGAGGGATGTCTTTTAAGTTTTGCATATAGAAACATAGTAGGCCGCGCGGACCGAACGTCAGTACTGAATATTAACCTCACTCTTTAGTAAACTCAAATTCAAAGTATCACAACAATACGTGCAGTGTTCTCACTACAGTGAATTTTTAAGTGTCACCAAGTCATTAGAAAAGTGGAACTCAACCGAGAACATTTTCGCGCCATAATTTATTACAACTTTCAGAGACAATTATCGCAACAAGAATGCCTTGCTGAGTTACTGTCTGTTTTCGGCAACGAAGCACCACATCAGTCGACAATTTCCCGTTAATATAGAGAATTCAAACGTGGACGGGTGAGTCTTTGCGACGATCCCAGCGTGGGTGCACCAAAAACGGCAGTCGCCCAGGAAAACGTCGATGCTGTGCGCAAACTCATCACTGAAGATAGACATGTGACATATCGCGAGAATGAGGCGTCCTTGAAGATCGCAAAGACCTCAATTCAAAAAATTTTACATGAAGAATTAGGAGTAAGAAAATTAGTTTCTCGTTGGATACCCTAAGTGTCGACTGAAGAGCAGAAAGCAGCCAGGGTTAATTGGTGTCAAAAAACGCTTGATTGTTTCAATTCCGGAAACTAAAAAAATGTCTACAGCATTGTTAGTGGTGATGAATCGTGGATTTACTGTTATGAATCAGAAAATAAACGACAGTCGGCTGTTTGAGTGTTCCTAGGTGAAGAAAAGCCAACAAAGTCATCCGTTCTCGAAGTGTTTCGAAAAAGATGGTCGCGACATTTGTGTCAAAAGCGGGTCATATTGCAACAATTCCTCTTAATGAGCAAAGAACTGTTACTGCGGATAGGTATACCACCATTTGTTTGCCAAAAGTCATCACCGAGCTTCGAAAAATCAATCCCGAAAGAAGAATCATCCTGCACCAAGACAATGCAAGCTCGCACACAGCCCAAAATCAAGGCAGTATTTAACGATTTCTTTACTTTTCCGAAAATTTAAAACAGACTGCGTGGTCAAAGGTTCCAGTCACGAGAAGAAGCAGTTGACGCATTAAAAAATGCCCTTTTGGGTCTGCCAGCAAAAGAGTGGAATAAGGGCTTCGAGCGCATGCAGATGTGTATTAATCTTCGTGGAGAATACTTCGAAAAACAATAAAGTCATTTAAAACTACCTGCCCTGTTGTTTTATTTCCATATGCAAAACTTAAAAGACATCCCTCGTATAACATCAAAAAAAGCATCATCTCGTGCTTGAAACTTTTTGCGATTACAATGCTTTCCTCGCCCGTGGCGTGGAAAATTTTAAACGTTGACTTTAAAATAAGCAATACGATCAGGCTCAAAATTAAATCATTGAACTCCTTTGAAGTCTGCATAGAGTTGACTTGACTGTCTTAACAATACCTAAAATAGAACATGTAGAATTATTCCATAACTTTTTTTGCAACCGGTATAATGGTTGCTAGCACACAATTTTCGCAAAATGTTTAAGTAGCCATTTCAAAATTATTAAACACATTTCAGAAATTGGTATCAATGGTCCTGGATATCCCCCAAAACAAGGTAGCGACCAAAGTAAAGCGCATAGGCGGAGGCTTCGGTGGAAAAGAATCAAGATGTGCAGCAGTAGTGCTGCCGATCGTACTGGCGGCCAAAAAGTTCAACAGGCCGATGAGGTGTATGCTGGACAGAGACGAAGACATGTTGGTTACAGGAGGGAGGAACCCTTTCTTCTACAAGTACAAAGTAGCCTTTGATCAGAGAGGGAAGATACTTGGTTGCAAAACTGATCTTTATGCCAACTGCGGTTACTCAGCTGATCTTTCAGTAGGGGTGAGTTATAAAGTTGTCTGAAAATCCTATTAAGAAAATCTTGGATAGGGAATAACAAGACATTGATAAATATTGACGCTTATCTGAAGGTACCAAGGTTTAACAAGAAGGAAATTAAGTATGAAGTGTCCCGTTAAAAATTCACCCCATCCAACATTTTTTATCACCGCTTATAAAGAAAGTTATTCGCAAAATTTATAGATTCTGATATAAAGTCTTCCAGGCAATGTTTTTTGTCTCAGAGAAGTGCTATTGAATAAAGGTGTAATTTTTCAAATCGGACACCATAAATATTCTTAGTGGAAATGATAGACGCTTTTTTCTGATTCCAAATATATACAGGGTGGCCCTTCCATGTGTGGGCGGAATATTACTGATAAACAAATACATTTTGGGAAAATCTGTTTATGGGATGTTATACATGACACTTGAGGGCACATTTATAAAATATTGGCAATTATACAGGGTGTCCCAATTTTGACCTACATATCAAAGTTGTGATTTTTTAAATAGAATGCCTCAAATTTTATTGCATATTTGGATAAATTAACTCAACACCACAGTCCGCCATTTTGAAATTTGTAATGCTGAATTTTGTATCAAAAAAAATGTACACACCTCAGCTTTTATCTTATTTGTTAACTTTTCAAATTTTAATTTTTGCTCATCATGGTGGTCAAAAACGCAAATTGTGGTTTTTTCAAAAAATTTCTAATGCATCCCTGTATATTTGTGCAAGTTTGGATTCAATTTTTTATGAGCTTCTTTTGATACTAGACACATAAGGGTTTTTACGGCTAATGATACGAATGATTTTTTTTTCAAATAAAAATTATTATGTGTAAAAAAAATAAAAACCGTTCTATTGTCTAACTTGCAAAATTATTATTAATTTAATTGGAATTATTAAACACATTAGGGAGAATGAACAACAACAACAGACAACATAAACATAACATTAAAACCAAGGAAATGATTACAAAAATTGTTGAAAATGGCCCCCTTCACTTAGCATGCATGCTTCCGCCCTCCTTTTCATGGAATTGCGCACTCGTTGAAATATCCCTGGAGTGTCTTTTATTCTCTCACAAGCTGCAACTATTCTTTCTCTTAATTCCTCTACAGTGTTAATGGAACTTGTGTACACTTAGTGTCTTAAGATAGCCCCACAAAAAGAAATCTAAACTGTTGAGGTCTGGGGACCTTGCTGGCCATTCTTGAGGCCCACCGCGGTCAATCCAACAATTTGGATAAACAGTTTGTAAATAATTACGAACCGCTACAGTGAAATGCGGGGGTGCACCATCAGGCATGTACCACATATTTTTTTAAAATACCACTGACAAAAGGTCACACGCCTTGGAAAATCAATGGGAAATAATGCCTGTACTCTAAAAATATGGTAAGGATATAACAAAAAATCCACTAAAGTTCTCCAATCAATTTGATGGCAAATATTTAAGTGTCTAGCGATCTTCCTCGTACTCGTTTCAGGATGTTCTTCGACTTCGTGCAGCACTGCTTCCTCAATTTCAGGTGTTCTCACACTTAGAGGTCTACGTTCAGATATTCCTTTTCGGACAGAACCAGTTTCAACAAGACGACGATGAATATTAGAAAAGGTTCGACTATCTGGCAAAGCACGATCGGGATATCTCTGGTGATAAATCCGTCTGGCTTGCTCACCATTACCGTCGGCAACGCCATATACGTAATGCATTTTCGCTATTTATGAATTCGAATAATTCACCATTATTAACAAGATTGTAAAAACTAAATAATGAAAAAGATGTGACAGCGAACCGATTTGGATAACAGAAACTTGTCAGATGTCAAAAGCCAGTGACATATTCCAGAGCAACTAGATATTTATTGCTAAATTGCATTCTTCAATCATTACATTAACTTTCTCGGACAATAGAACGGATTTTATTTTTTTACTCAAAAATGGCGCATCAAAGGAAAGCAACTCAAGAGAGATTATTTGTTTTAAATTGAACAGGAAAATCAAAAATAATTTTTATTTGGCCAAAAACCATTTGAGTACCATTTTTATCTTAAAAAATATCGAAGTCAATACCCGTACGCACGCCACTGTTAAAGCAAAAAAAATTTTTTTTTCACTACGTACTAAATATATCAGTGAAATATCTGAAGCGGTTCTGAAAATATTAATGAAGTTCCATTTTTTTCCTAAAACTTCAACACCCTGAGTTTTTGTAACGAAACATTTTTGGACCATAGTTTATAAAGCAAACTAACATTTATTTTTCGTGTAGATTCACACCCTTGAATATTCGAATATCATTAAGGAACACCCTGTATATATATATATATATATATATATATATATATATATATATATATATGTATAACATACATACAGAGTGGCTCATCCATGTGTAGACGGAATATTACTCACAAACAAATACATTTTGAGAAACTCTATTTATGGGATGTTATACCTGTAGATGACATTTGAGGGCACATTTCTGAAATATTGGCGATTATACAGGGTGTCTCAATGTCGACCTACATATCAAAGTTATGATTTTTCGAATGGAATGCCTCAAATTTTATTGCATATTTGGATAAACCATTTCAAAAGAAGAAAAATGATATAACATACTATGGGGATTTGGTAACTACCTACTGACATATAAGCTGTTTTATCTAGAAAAACCCCTCACTTCGGCAACCCGTCAGTCCGCCATTTTGAAATTTGGAGTGCTGAACTTTGTATCAAAGAAAACTTACACTTTTATCTTGTTTGTTACTTTTGCGAATTTTAATTTTTGCTTGTAGTTTTTCTCAAAAATTTAGGGCTATTTTTTCGGTTATTAGCACGTCTCTTATGGAACGGCTTAATTCCCTAAAATATCGCATCATCCTTGGAAACAAATAAATTGTTGATTAGTTACAAACTGTCAAAATTAGCTTTGTGAGCATTATAATAAAAACTTGTTTGAAAATGAATTTTTCTAAAGAAGAAATAGTGAATATGGTGTTCGTTTTGACCGGAAGCATTTTCCACACTACGAGAACGTTTTGAATCAAATGGAGCAGTGGAATATAAAAAAAATTTATAGATAATCCAAGTGTGACCAATGAGGCGAATGAGATGGAGGTTCTATTAAAGTTGCATTATCATAATCGTATGCGTAACTATTTGGGCACCTGGAGTAACAATCGTGGGATCAGATGTGATGGGCCTATATCTTGGCCTCCTAGATCACCAGATATGATACCGCTGGACTTCTTTCTATGGGGCTACGTTAAGCTAGAGGTTTATAGATATGCACCATCTACCCCGGAAAATATGAAGGAAAGGATTAATGCTTTTCTGAACATGAGGGAACACATGCTGAGGGATGTGCAACGCTCATTTGTCCAAAGACTACGGCTGTGTATTCAACATAGTGGAGATATTTTTGAGCAGTTTTTGTAGATTAGATCTTGAGTAGTGCTAGTTGGTTGTCTATGTTGTTGTTATAGTTGTTTTTCTCTATTACGCTTGAAGCTGATTTATATTGTTCTGACTGTTATTAGTTTTTACGTCAAGTCTGTACTCTTGGTGGTAATATGGAACTAGCCCACTGTTTGTCTTTTGTTTCCATGGATGATGTGATTTTTTTCCTTAATTTTGGTATGATGCTCTATTAAAAGCTTAATAACTCAAAATCTAGTGATCTTGTCTGAAATCAAACCTTAGCAAAAATAAGAATTCGGAAAAGTAACAAGTAAGATAGAAGCTGAGGTGTGTAAGTTTTTTTGAAACAAAATTCAGCACTCCAAATTCAAAAATTGCGGATTGAGGGGTTGCCGAAGTGGACAGTTTTTCTGCACAAAACACCTTACATCTTCTTCTTTTGAATTGGCTTATCCAAATATGCAATAAAATTTGGGGCATTCCATTTAAAAAATCACAACTTTGATATGTAGGTCAAAAGTGGGACATCCTGTATAATTGCCAATATTTTAGAAATATGCCCTCAAATGTCTTGTATACCATGCCACAAATATATTTTCCCAAAATGTATTTGTTTATGAGTAATATTCCGTCCACATATGGATGGGCCACCCTATATATATATATATATAGGTGAAAAATTCAAGATTCCGCCTTTTGTTGGGTACTTCGACAAAATTTCAGCAAGGAGGTCTCTTTTGTGCAATCATCAAGTGGTTTCACGATGTAATGCTTAAGTTTCGTTTTAAATAGTTTTAATCTGTTTTTAATTTGTTCTTCTCATACAGCTGTGTGTAGTTTGTATAATTTTGACTATTGTACCATGTATCCAGCTTTCACCATGTTACTGGGTGTTTCCCTCATCCTTAACGTAAATGACATTTAGCAACATCCTCACATACTACTCTCCTGATGATGATGGCAAAGACCATTGAAAGCTAGAGAGATTCAAAAAGTATAAAGAGTCCTCCTTGCTTAAATTTTGTCGAAGCACCCAACAAAAGGCGGAAGCTTTAATTTTTCACTTAACTGGTCTAGACGACGATGACCACGTCTCAAGTTATATATATATATATATATATATATATATATATATAGGTGAAAAATTAAAGCTTCCGCTTTTTGTTGGGTACTTCGACAAGATTTAAGCAAAGAGGACTCTTTATACTTTTTTTAATTCTCTCTAGCTTTCAATGGACTTTGCCATCATCATCAGGAGAGTAGTATGTGAGAATGTTGCTAATTGTTGTTTTCGTATAGGATGAGGGAAACGTCCAGTAACATGGTGAGAGCTGAATAGGTTGCACAATAGTCAAAATTTATACAAAACATGACAAGAACACGTTAAAAACAGATTAAAAATTATTTTAAAAAATTAGAACATTACATCGTGAAACCACCTGATGATTGCACCTAAGGTGATGATGATGGCAAAGTCCATTGAAAGCTAGAGAGAATTAAAAAAAGTATAAAGAGTCCTCTTTGCTTAAATCTTGTCGAAGTACCCAACAAAAAGCGGAAGCTTTAATTTTTCACCTAACTGGTCTAGACGACAATGACCACGTCTCAAGTTATATATATATATATATATATATATATATATATATATATATATATATATTATAATCAAAATCCCATTTTCCCTGAAGAGTGTAGGGTTGATTCCAAATATATCGATTGTTTAACTTATAATCATCACTTTAGACCAAACTAACGAAAATAGATACCTTAAACCATATATCTTCACTGGTTATATGCAGGGTCTTCCTTTCAAGAATAAAAGCACTATGAAAGCACTTTTCTGTATACAAAAAACAGCATGAACGACTTCAGGTTATGCTCTATAACTTTTGTGCGAAACATTTTTTCTGAACGATCATATAAAAATGTTATAGGGGTCAATTTAGGGCGGAGCACGCTATATATCTAAGTGGGTATGTAAAGCTCACTGAATGCTGGATAGACAGAAAATGGATCATGTAATTCCAGATGCGATCAAATGAAACACACAATAATTTTGAGTTTTCGTAAAAATATAATTTCAAGTTTTATTACCATACTTCATCGTATTTACACCACATTTCGTTGCACTTAAGTCATTATATACCATTACATGTATTTTTTAGGTGATCGATCGCGCGATGACTCATGTAGACAATGCATATAATATCCCAGCAGTGTGTATCCAAGGATATGCTTGTAAAACGAATTTGACTTCAAATACGGCTTTCAGAGGTTTCGGTGGACCACAGGGTATGTTCCTATCTGAAACCATGGTGCAACACATAGCTGACACGCTTGGCGTTGACCCCATTCAGGTAAATAGTACTCAATAGATACTAGAAAACGGTGAATGTTCGCTATTATTTTTTATTATTTTCCATTTTATCACTAATTTTATTTTCTATAAACCAACGATTTCAAATAAATTTGAAGGAGCAAAGCCTATAACATGTTTAGATTGCATTATTTGTCGCCAAAATTGTGTAATTTCAGTGCATGAGGCAATGCCGAAAACCAATATACAGTGCTTTTCTTTAATGTCCCCCTCCCCTTTGATTTCTTGAACGGATCAATTCAAAAAATTAAAACTTGATGTAATGAAGTTGATGCGTGGATACCATATTTTAAAGTAAAATTGACAGATGAAAATGTCAAGATGGCCGCTGGGCGCCATCTTGGAAAAAAATTATATGAAAACGGGGGTCTTGTGGCACATTATTTCGAAGCTCCTGATGAGTACTCTATAACCCTAGAATATAAAGTCAATACCTTTACCTACTACAAAATGGCGTTATATTTATTAATTACTTGAATACAAACCCACTAACATGCATATCTCTACAATAATTGTAATTCCCTGCCGAATCCACAGCAACAGCGATAAAAACTTGTTTTGTTATTTTTTGTTGACAGTGACAAGAATATCAGTACGAAAACAAACATCATTGTACAGTTAAAATACTCTTATTTAGTTTTCGGTTTTAGTGCTAGATACTGTTTGAACTATTTTTAAAATGGTCAATTCTCGTCCGTTGGAAGAAAAAATCGAAGCGGTTTTTATTTATGGTGCGACGCGTAACTTTCACGAGACCGAAAGGATTTTTAATGATCGTTTCCCGAATCATCCTATTTGTAGAAAATATTTAAGGGAACTTGTATCTAAATTTACAACTACTGGTAGTGTAAACAACAAAAAGCCCCAAGATCATCCGACCATGCCGGAAGAAAAGCAAATTCAAATAATTGGTGAGATCACAGTAAATCCCCAACAGTCTACTTCCTCCAAAAGCGAATGTATGTGAGGTTTGTCCTTCTACTGTATGGAGACTTTTGAAAAAAATAAGTATCACCCATACAAAATTCAAATGGCACACCAGCTAACTGAAGCTGACCCTGATCGAAGAACAGAATTCTGCGAGACTATGACGGAAACCATTGCACGGCATCCTACCTATATCCAAAATATTTGTTTTAGTGATGAATGCACATTTTTTCTCAGCGGTAATGTGCATAGACAAAATTGTCGTTATTGGAGTGACACCAATCCTCACGTCTTCCGGGAAACGCATACTCAATATCCACAAAAAAATAACGTTTGTGCGGGGATATTGGGAAATCATATTGTAGGGCCTCTATTCATCGAACAAACTTTAACCGGGGAACTGTATTTGAATATGCTAGGAAATACTATTGATCCTCTAATCACCGAAATCGTCGAAGCAAGTCCTAATGAATTCGATACTGATATTCTATTCCAGCTAGATGGTGCTCGACCACACTACTACAGACAAGTTAGGAATTATTTAGATAACAATTTCCCCGGTCGTTGAATTGGCCGTCGAGGTCCTGTGGAATGGCCAGCTCGCTCGCCAGATTTGACACTTTTAGACTTTTTTACGGGGCTATTTGAAGCAAAAGGTGTACGAAACTGAACCTGCTTCAAATATTGGATGTACGGCTGAGAATAACAAATATTTGTATAAATATCTAAGTTACTATGTTTGAAAATGAAAATGCGAAAACGCGAGATTACGGACCGGCTGTTATTGTGTTAAGGAGTTCAAAGCAACCTTATCCCTACTGAGCGCGGCCGTGGCAAATGCTTGTTCCGAAAGTTGTTGTATCCAGTATACAACTTCTTCCCGTTCAAGTGATTGTACACGCGTTAAGAATACCTGAGTACCGATTGCCGGGTGGCGGTACAAGTCCGCCAACGGGCCACTTTAGGTCTATTTAATATCACTAACACGTAAAAAGGTGGTAGACAAGGACCAGTCGACCGAGGCGGTACCAGCCGCTAGCTTTTTCCAGGGTGTCTGATAAATGTCCGCATGTATCCACATCTAAGCTATGCAGTCGGTAATCTTCCAAAACAAAGAAATTAATGATGATGGATCCCTCGAGTACAAGAACTCCACGTAAACTCACTCCACTCTCGGAATGTCCAGGTGGAGGGTGGGCTCGAGGGAAGAACATCGAAGATAAAATTTGTTTTTCGAACATCTGCGGAACTAACAGCAATATTGATTCTGTTCATCACTACCTGCAATCCAATCGTTCCGCCGTGCTTTTCTTGGCGGAGACAAAAATCTCAGAGTTTGCACCGATTAACCATCGCAACTTCTCAAACTACGAGGTGCACTACAATCTGAGAAAGAACGGGGCAGTTGTGGCTTTTGCCCGCAGCAGTCTTTCCTGCTCCAGAGATGTTTCTTTGGAATCAGACCGGAAGGACATTGTGTGGCTTCGCCTCAACTCCAAAACATCACCCAAATTTATTTGCTGCCTTTATCGCTCTTCCTCGGACCATAACGAGGATGACCTACTCGAATACCTGGCCGTCCAGATCGACTTTCTGAACATCAATCACCCCGTTTCAGAGGTAGTTCTCGGTGATTTCAATGCCCATAATGAGCTTTGGTTGGGCTCAAACAAGAACGATGCAGCAGGTCGACAAGTCGAAGCATTCGCTCTTATTCAAGGGCTGACCCAGCTGGTGACGAGCCCTACTTTTTCCACCGCGTCTCGTCACACGCCAGTAGCCTGCTGGATTTCTTTCTGACCACGCATCGTGTCCCTTACAACACTGTTGTTCTGTCCCCCCTGGATAACTCCTACCCATGTACAATACGAATTTAATCTGAAACTTCAACAACAGTCGATGCTTGAGCATAGGCCTAAGCCTCCTAAGCGTCCTGGCTTTTAACTACACAATTTTGATTCAAACAAATCGTATGGTTGCTCTTTATACCTAGTCGAAAGTCATTGTTATAAACCAAAATCACTTTGTGTCTTCTGTATTTTCTGGCATGCTTGGTGGATTCAAATTACCATCGTAGTTATGTTGTTTTTACTGTGAAAATAGCATTTCACAAAACATTAATGAACTGAATTTTATTAATAGGTGAGAGAAATGAATCTGTACAAAAATAATGATTTGACATACTACGGTCAGCAGCTGAGTAACTGCACAATAGAAAAATGTTGGAAGGAATGCGTTGAATCGTCAAACTATTACGAGAGGCGGAAGCTTGTCCAGGAATTCAATAGGTAATGTTTTTCTTATTCTTAAAGTGGCTAGATAAATTTTCGAAAACTGTACGCAAAAATAAATGTGCTTCATAGGGTGTCCAGTGGGAAAGTTCAATTTTTAATTTAAGAAAAAATACAAACTTAATGAAAAGAAAACATTTATTACTATCAACATATTCGTAAATTCTATAACACTCTCTTGCAGAGATTGATGTTGTTTATTTCTCGTCGAATGTTGTCTTTAAGCTCCTCCAGTGTTCGTGGATTATTGGAATACGCTTTTGATTTTAGATAACCCCTCAAAAAGTAATCGCATGGCGTGAGGTCGGGTAACCTAGGAGGCCAGTGAATGTTGTCTCCAAAGTTCGATATAACTTTTTGAGGTAAAAGTGCTTTCACCGTGTCCATCGACTCTCTGGAAGTATGGACAGTGGCTCCATCTTGTTGAAACCATGTGTTTCTGTTAAATCGACGTTCTGTTCTTACAGTAGGAGCCAAAAAAGTGTCAATCATGTCCTTGTATCCGTTTTCATCTTCAAAGAAATACGGCCCAATAATACCGCTAGATGATATGGTGCATCAAACAGTCACCTTTGGACTATGTATCTGTTGTTGATGTTTCTCTTTTGGGTTCGTTGGTGCCCAATATCTGCAATTTTGCTTGTTCACAGAACCGTGTAAGTGAAAATGGGCCTCATCACTGAAAACAACGTTCTGGAGTCTGCGCTGCGTAGGAAAAAGATTCAACATCCGTTCAGCACAAGATTTCCGTAATACGTAATCACTTTCCTTTAAAGCAAAGTCTGATTGGATTAAGGATGAAAACCCATTTTTTTCTTCATTATGCCATGCACTGTTGACCTAGATTTTCCCAATGCAGCGGAATGTTTCCGTACAAAATGCCGAGGATTTGCAATGACTGAATCACTTATTCGACGCACATTTTCTTCAGTTGATACAGTACAGTACACTTTTTCAATAGGTTCTTACTTGGGGCATCTCATGGTTGGCGAATGTTGTATCGTGCACAAAATTTTCGAAAGGCAGCTGCTTATGAATCACCACTCTTAAAGTAAGCCTCGATAGCAAAAGCACGCTGCGCTCCGGTCCAACGTTCCATTGTGACTATTTAACCCGCACCCGCACGCCGATCGCGTAGATCAAGACCTCTCCCCACTTCCTCGCGTATGCGGTTGCCGCGTAATTCAAATTTGAAATGTGAACTTTTCCACTGGACATGTACGTTAATACATTCTTAATAAAATTTCAGAAAAATGTATCTCCAATAAATTCGAAAGTCTTGTGTTATAATGTCTAAGACGAGGTCTGTAAATTAAATGATGAGACTGATTTTTCTTGATCTGATGAACGGTGGTGTAAGTCAAATTTAACTGTCCCCCGATCATTCTGACTGTCAACCGACGATCTGAACGCACAAGATCCCGGATTCTGTCGATATTTTAATCGGTTCTTGAAGATGAAGGCCATCTGCTTCGTGGTTCATCCTCAATCGACTCTCTTCCTTCTGAAAATGGCTTAAACCACCGAAAAACCTGGGTCTTGACAAAACACTATCCCCTTAATCCTGTTTAGAGTTGCCGTTGCACTGTGCCCAAGTCTGAAGCGAAACCTGATACACCATTGCTCGAAATTGATCACATGTTCTGTTTCCCCTCCAAGCCCAGTGTCTCCAGTGTTACCAGATCGAACGTTACGTTTCCAATCTCATTACTTAATTTACAGACCTAATACATGTGTGGTTAGTTTAACGTTATTGGCAATCATTGATGCAATCTAATAATCAAAATTACTTATTTTAGGCAAAACCGCTATAAGAAACGAGGTCTCAGTATTATCCCTACAAAGTATGGAATCGCTTTCACAGCTACTTTCTTGAATCAAGGAGGTGCTTTAGTGCTAGTTTACACAGATGGGTCCGTCCTCATTTCACATGGTGGTGTTGAAATTGGTCAAGGACTTCACACGAAAATGATACAGGTAATACAATATTCACTGATTTTTTATTTTTTATTCTAAATCATATATACAGCATTTTAATGCAATGTTTGTACCGTTAATGACTAGATTGAGAGACTCAAAAATGTTAAATGTCAAATAGTTTCATATATAAAGAATTCAATGTATAGAAAAAAAACAGAAAGTGATTGCTGATTGGATATTTGTAGTCGTTCTATAGCTCTTCATATTCTGCATATCATCGCAAAAAATTGAAAATTAGATACAATCTTTTTCTGGCATATACATTACGAAAGGCAATGTCTCTGTAACTTGAAAAGCACTGCGACATTTTGATGAAACGTTGACATGAAATTACTACTATGTCAAGGATTAGAAGTAGTGTTTGAAAATCGATCTAGTGGCAGTCAAGTTATGAGGAAAAAATGAAAGGAAAAAACGCTCATACTTTTTAGGCGTCTTGCTGATTTTCAGATTTTTGGGGACTGGGGTTGAAAATTCAGAATTAGAGGTGGTAGGAGGTGAAAAGGGCGTGTAAGCTTTGCATCTTTGGTATCATATCTTAAGTTAAAACTGGTGGCTGGTAAGTTCAAATAGTACCACATATTAACACGTCGCGAGTAGTCCGTGCGACCGCCCGATGATAACAACTTTATTTAACTTTGACTAGTCTTAGTCAGCCTGCATCTGAAAAACCACAAGCAAGACAGAATATATCAATAGCAAGTGAGGGGATCACGGCTTTCTTAGAATCAACAAAATGTAGACGTTTCTTTTTAATTACCTAGGTTGCCAGTAGGACGCTAGGAATATCAGTGGACAAAATACACATCAGCGAAACTGCTACAGATAAAGTACCAAATGCATCCCCAACAGCTGCTAGTTCAGCGTCAGATTTAAACGGAATGGCTGTTATGGTAAGTGATTTAGTTAGTTGGTATTGTCCATTGTGAATGAGGTTTCCATTCAGTATACGTACTTTAGTTTGATTGCAATTCTCAGTTTCAAATGTATGTATTTCAGTTCTATGGATAACTATTCTCATTTTATTTCTATTAATGCAGATGAAACTTTAGTTAAGTTTGTGCATGACAATATATTATGATTTTGATCAATGACTATCCATTCTATTTCAGGACGCTTGCACTCAAATCAAAAAACGATTGTTGCCGTACATAGAGGCGCATCCAGAACTGAAATGGGAAGATTGGGTGAAAAAAGCTTATTTCGACAGAGTTGGCCTATCAGCAGTAGGATTTTACAAAACGCCTGGTCTAGAATTCAACTGGGATACTATGCAAGGAAACTTATACAATTACTACACTTATGGAGTTGCTTGCTCCGAGGTGGAGATCGATACTCTAACAGGAGATCATCAAGTCATCAGGACGGATATTGTCATGGATTTAGGTAAAAATATTACATATTTCACGCGTATTTGAATGTAAGAAGGTTTTGAGTTACAGCAAAGTATTTTGTGTCTTTGCCTTAAATAACACTGATTAACACAAAAATTCCGTTTTTCGCAAGTGCTACAGCACACAAGTCTAAGACCCTAAAATCGTGTACTTTATTTTCATCTAACTCCTGTCACTGAGCACTGGCTTGTGTTGAAGATTCCGATTCGATATCGCTTACCTGGTTCCCTGCATCTTTTTCTTTCATTGGATGTTGACAATCTCGTCTATGAGAAAGTTCAGTTATTCTACATCAGGATATACAATTTTATATCACGCAATATAAAAATATCCTTTCAGTATTATTAAACAGAAATAACAGTCAGTAATAAGATCGTTTAGTTCTCTCCTCATTGCAGGCTTAGAAAAATGCATAACTGGATGGATATATTTGGACCACCCTCTTAAATAACGGACACATCTTAATAAAAAATAACTAGATGTCCAACATTTATCAATAGTATAGGGAATCTCGAAACCAAAATACAAACTGTAAATGTTATTAAGTAACGGTGTAGGCAGTTCTCGATTAGAAACTTTAAGTAAATTCTCCATAAATAAAACAAATAAGGTCCGGTTAATTTAAGCATTTTTGATTCGAATAGACTTCTATTTGTATAAGTATACTACACTACAGCACACTTCTATAAAGCCCAAACTTATAAATCACAGTCACAGTTTGCAATAACTCGTGGAATAAATACTAGAAATCAAGTGTTGTAGCAATATTAAGCAACATCTTGTTGTTCCAAGTATGGCCAATCACAATACTTATTTTCGATAAAAAAATTTCAAATTTTAAAGATAATCGTTTATTTAGATATTTCTAAATATCTATACATGAAAGATACCAGAAATACATGATTGAATTAACGTCAAAAAGTCATAGCGTAATTAGTTCACGAAAGGTACGAGTCTTTTAAATGATGCCTTTCCATAAAAAAAATAGACCCATGCCCAAAAACGGATACAATAATGATCATGAGTGCGACGAAAAATTTAGCTTCTACACTTCTACAGTATCAAAAAGTTTAAGATTTTCAAGGAAGTCGTTGCGTCATCTTAAGTTGATCAGAAGCGTAAGAAACGTACAAAGATAAAGTTGCATTAAATTTTAGGTGAAAGCTTGAATCCAGCTATAGACATTGGACAAATAGAAGGTGCTTTCATGCAGGGTTATGGTCTCTTCGTTTTGGAGGAATTGGTTTACTCTACAAGAGGAGACTTGTTTACCAGGGGACCAGGCACGTACAAAATACCAGGTTTTACAGACATACCCGGAGAGCTTAATGTATCATTGCTCAAAGGAGTTTCAAATCCGCGAGCTGTATACTCTTCAAAGGTAAGAATACCATTATGATCAAATAAAGAGTAATAACATTCATATTTATTAAACGAAGTTCTTTCGATTATTTTGTTTTAAATCTGCCATACCTATTGTAGCTCTCAACAATCTCAACACATAGATTTACGTTAATTGTTCCAAATTTCTTAACCTAGTAGTTCAAGAGTCAGCTTTCTGTGAAGGTGTCTCAGCCCACAAAGCTTTTTGGGGAAATTTTCTCGGGAAGCGGGGGTTGACAAATAATAAAGGCCTTTCCCTGCCCTGGCCCTTGCCTGCTGGCGTCTATGATTACGTATTGTAGCACCGGATGTAACACTGAGAGGGTGCATTTCACAACATATTTATTTTCTCAGCAACAGACATAATAGCCATGCCGTAGTTGCTCACTTTCTCATCACCATCCAGGTATGATAAATGACAAAAGAGCTGTTCCTCCAATTGTTCTCTCCAATAGCGGATTTAGAGTGGGCACTAAGAGTGCCCCCCCTAGACGGTCAGGCGCGCTAATTTTATCAAGAAAATGCTACACATGGTGTCCTGAGAGTTGGGAATCGCCTTTTCAGAATTAACTACAATGCCAAAGCTAATTCTCAGTAAAACGGCACCAAAAACGTAAAAAATAAATTGAAGAAAAATACTGAGTATTCATTTGATAAGGAATTTCAAGTACTGCCCTGTGCCCTGTCACATGTTTTGTTTGTAAACACTGCTTGAATTTGTTGCTGTTCGATTCAAAATACTCGTTTGTTTACCTCTTCCTAAATTTGCAATATTTGGATCTGACTAGGTATTCAACTGTGTTCAAGCAGATGGCTTTTCACGATACAAACAAACATGTGCAGCTCTGATGGAAAAAAACATCGAGGACGATGGCGACGTTCTTAGTACACTCGCGGAGTATCAATAGGATCTTGAACATGCTCATATCAAATGGATAACTATGTTATTGCTCTAGGAATGTGCCAATTTCGGTTTTTCCAATGCGGTTTGCTTATAAACTAGGTTAACCTAGACTCCACATGACGTCTGGTTTGGATACTGCCTCACATAGTCTTAGTACATCATACGTTTTAACGTTGTAGGGAATTACATAGATAGATACTTTATTGACCCTTTTGATCATTTAAAAAATGATGTAGGAAGGCCATGGCTGATATACATATACATACAATTTACACTTCACTAAGTATAGGAAAACCTTGCTATGTTTGTCGTATAGAAAAATGGCAGATGTACATATTAGGGGCGTCACAGTAAAGATAATATTGCGATTCAAATTATAAAAGAGAAAGTAAGTTGTGGGAATGGGAAGGTGGCAGGACGGTACTGGTTCAATTATTGCTTTTTGAAACCTAATAACTCGGTTATCTTAAAGCTTTGGCATATATGTTACTAAAAACACATGCTTATTATTGCCTGACCTATACGCTCTGTAAAGGGAAATCACTTTCATGTATATTGATGTATCTTTGCGTGAGACTTACCTTGCTAGACCTGAACTGTAACTGTAACTCTTCCCCTATAGGTATGCTCACCCCACTCCCCCGCTCTTCAAATTTTCTGTTGGCGGTACCCCCCCCCCTCCAGAACATGGATCCTGCAACCACCACTGCGCCCCCCTGGCCAACTTTCCTAAGTCCACCCCTGTATCTTTGGCGCTGAAAAACGTGGCTGTTGGCGTGCGCGAAAGAACATGCTCAAATAAACAACCCATTTTACAGGCTGTAGGCGAACCTCCTCTGTTTTTGGCTGGATCAGCACTGTTCGCCATAAAGGATGCTATTAAAGCGGCAAGAGAAGAAAACGGTATAAAAGAAAGACACTTCAGATTGGATGCTCCAGCTACTTCAGCAAAAATCAGAATGGCTTGTCAGGATTCGATAACATCGAAGGTAAGACCACACATTCTCTGATATGAATCTTTGCTGGATAGTTATTCCTTACGCAATTCGTAAGTGCAATATCTATTACAACTAGATATTTCAGAATTTTCACCTACGATTTTCTTAAATACGCCCTAAAGTTGATAGAAATGAAAAAGCTAAAAAAATCGAGTTAGGAGCTTTTTAAGCTTCAAAAATATTTATTATTACGCCTAAAAATTATCATAAACTTGAAATAACTCAGAATAGCTTTTATGCTATGCTTTTTTGCTTTTGCTTATACCTACGTCGCTACTTGACCAATTGTCAATAACTACTGTGTAGTAGTAACCTTGTGCCTTTCTTCAAAATTTGACCGAGCCTTTTCAACATTTTTCACTGATGTTGAATTTTCTAACTTCGTATTTTTAGAAAGGCTGCCAAAAAATCAACATAACTGGTCTGTAGTTTCATTTAATATTGATCAAGTAGGGATAGGTGTATTAGAGATAAAGCCACCTCATAAGTTTACGAAGCTACATGAGGTGATTTTTTTTCAGCTAAAAGAACCAGAATCAGGAACTTTCAAACCATGGAACGTTGTAGTGTGACGCACCTACTAGTGATAGTACAAGATAATTCAACGTCCTGTGGAAATACATCGAAGACAGAGCAAGATATAACAGCCTACGTGACTGTGCATTGGCGCGTCGCATTTTTTACACAATAAACGGAATAGTAGTAGAACTGTAAAACCAACGTAATTTTTTCATAACTCAATATGTTTTCACAAAACGTTTATTGAGTGTTAGGCATGTATAACGCCAATATTTGACATCACTGGTACACTTACGCTGTTGCAGAATTTCTCAAGGTCGACTTCGTCAATGTCGCTGCTCGATTGTCTTACAAGATAGGTAACCGCGGCTAAAAAGAAACAGGGGATTCAAAACAGTGGTTGCTTCTGTGTCAACTTATATTCATACATATTTTCTCTAAGTAAAACTCACAGTGGTGTGACGCTCATTTCACTGCCCTGAAAAAGCAGCAATTCAATGATTCATAGGTCACATTACTTAGACCTTACCGTTCTCAGAATTAGGATACAGGATAGGATGATTGTTTCCAAACCAAAGAACATAGAAGTTGATACAGCAGCTGCACTGAATAGCAGAATCAGATATGAGATTTGTATACTACAAATCTAGATTTTTTATAACCTATCCGTAATATTTTGCATGTAATTAGTGTTACATTCAAATAATAATCTAGTTTTGATATTCTGTGCTTTATTCACGTGAACATAGACTTCAAAATAATAAATATATTCTATAATAACTACATTGAGAAATGTTTCTGTCTCAACTTATATTCAACAACAAAGAAATTGATAGGTACAACTGTTTGAGTGGATAGCAGAATAACATGGATATGAGGTTTGGTATACTACAAATCTTATATTTTATGCGTTGCATGTAGTCTTTTGTTGAATTTTAATAATACTTCTATTTTGATATGTTGTTTTATTCACGTGAGTCAAACCTATACCTACTGACATTTTACAGGGGATACTCAATGTGGTGGGTTTATTCTCTGTCTCGATTAGATAGTAGGTGATACCTACATACTAACAGATCAAAAGACAAATAGACATTATGACAAAAATGGACTCAAAATGTCCAAGAAACACATCCCAGTTCGAATATTTTTCGGTCATTATTCTCTCGCTTTTGCGTGAAAAGAGAAGTACACTACTCAGAAAAATTAAGGGAACAAGGAAAACATCCAAATTTTTCGGCGATTCTTGACAGACTGTATTTCAGTGAAAAATAATCGTTTCTGGATTTTAAAAAAGGCAATTTTGAAGCTTTAAGATTCTAGTCTTTAAATTTTTAAGCCGATAAATTTGAGGAGCATGATAAATTCTAACAGATAGCGCAAGGACAATCTTTTGCAAAATTTTTGCCTTGGGATTGAAATCTTTTTTCCTGTTTAATTATCATATGGATAGCCCGTTTATTCAGCTTCAATATCCTGTAAAATTTGGATTTTTACTTGTTCCCTTAATTTTCTTGAGCTCGTATTTGAAAACCTTTTTCGTAATGTTGAACATTGTCTATAGGTCTTTTAGCGGTTTTTGGTGGGACATAGTGAAACTAAAGGAATTACTTTCCTAAACCCATCTCCCCAAGACATTTAGTATGATAAGTTATTAACCGAAATAGTGCTGTAAGTGGCGCCCTCTGGAAGTTTGTCCATCAAAAATAACGGATTCTTGTTTCTCATGCTAGAAAACCTCCATATACCGAGTTTTATGCCAAAATATGAAATCCTTCTCAAGCAATAAGGAAAATATAAAATAAAATTGTAACTTTGACATCCTATATCTCGCAAGCTATCAACTTTTGGACTAATGTATGTTTAGGTCAATTCACATATTTTGGTCTGTAGTATCTCCAGTTTCGAGATTTCCCAAACTTTCGCAGTATATGCAGTCGGCCTCTATGCGCCGACGTTTGTGAAAACTTTCTCGCCAACGTATGAGTCGTCTACATTTATGCTTGTCACTATAACATGACAACTTGCTCGTCGGCAGTGACGGCGTTAGGCGTAAGTGCCCGTCCAAGGTATCGCGCTCTAAGGGGCCCTCGCAAGAAAGTTATAAAAATATATTTTATTTTTTGATCTTAATGAGCGAATAGATAAGGAGCTTTTGGCCAGCGATTGTGAAGGTCAATTTCGTTATCCTTATGTGGTTGATTTTGTTGTTATTAAAGACAACTTTTTTCAGAACAGAAGAATTTGTGTTGGTACTGCTTACCGACAACATTCAGTTTTCTATTTTACGGAGTGCTGCTACACATCTGACCCAACATTTAGTTCCAAACTACAAATTCAAAACCATCCAAACATACAGCAAAGCCAAACATTACCAGAAACCACAAAACAACAAAGAAAGCTTAATGTGCTGCGGAAATGCCTAAGCAAAAATGGCCATAAGAAATTTGCATACACACTAAAAAAGGTGCTCAAACCCATTTATATTGAATTGAGGATCATAGCTATGACAACCTTTGTTTCTAAAACTCTAAAACATATTCCTATAAACTAAAATGCATTTCTTAAATGTAAGAACTCTATTTGAAACAATGATGATCTCAAGTATCTGTGATCTCGAATCAATGTCTTCAAGAGAATATTTGCTTTTGAAATCTATATAAAAGGAGGACCTTGTCAAGTATTATAATATATTATAGGTAAGGTAAAAACAGCGACATACACCCTTTCCAACTACATGAAGAGCTCTAGCTTTTAAAATCCAGTTCACCAGAACCTGTCAATAAAGCAAGACAACTTATCCAGTACATTTTTTAAAACAATTTGGAAGAAGTATATCCGAATGTTTACATAACAATAATCAAAAGCATGCTCACAGTTCCAGTCAGTACAGCTTTCATTGAGGGACGCTTCTCAAAGATAAATGACTTACTTGGCTGCCTTCTTTCAGTACATTAAAGAATACTCTTTGCGGAGAAAGTTACATAACAAAACAAAATAATGCACATATGCAACTACACATGCCCATAGATCTGGATACGAGTGTAACTTGAGGAAACGAAGATGAAGAGGGAACAAAACGACGAAGTGGGAACAAAACGACGAAGTCACCAACAAGAGCCAACCTGCACATGGCTAAAACCGGCCGCGTGGTTGCGGTTAGATTTCGCCTTGAAAATTTCGGCCATAATACCACAATGTGTAGGTTGGCTCTTGCTGGTGACTTCGTGTGTCGTGTTGTTCCCTCTCCATCTTTGTTTCCTCAGGTTACACCCGGATCCGGATGTATGATTGCATTCACATTCCTTCCTTTTTGCGAATTTGACCCATTATTTTAATTTGTTATACACCTTCCTCCGCAGAGAGTAATTCTTTATTGTACTACATTTTTTGAATTTAGACCAGTAGTGTTTGTACGGAATGTCACATACCTATTTTGGCGGACATTGATTTCTATTAAAATAAAAATTATTCTTGCAATCCCTAATGATTTCAAAACAAATTTGATCGCTTGATCTTCTTCAATCCGGTGCACGGTCTTCGCTTAAAAAAATGAAACCGTTTATGTGTTATGTTATTACATTAAAAGTATTAAATTTAAGCTGTTGTATCATACTGGTCTGTCTCTCAGATCTGATAACCAAGAGAATAAAATTTATTGAGCTTGTTCATCAGAGAATAGCGCTCAAGTGAACTACTTCGTTTATCTAATGTCAATGTCATTGGAGAGTTGTTTGCGATTCCTCTTGATGATGATAACTCGATTAACTATCACTGTATTCGCGGAATAATCTATTCCCATCATCACAAAACTTACACTTTAGTTGATCTTCTGACTTCAGGCGTCCGCAGCCAATAGACTTGGCTATGATTTCGATGGATGAGAACAGTCCAATGCGGTACTTGCATACCAAAGCTCTTAACAGTTCAATATCTTCGCCAGTCAAAGTTCTGTTGGATTCCCTGGCGGCTAATTTGGCAACCATGTATACGTTAGCAAATGATTCCTTCACTTGATTGCGTATTTCCTGTTCAAAATCTATTTCACTTTGCCGACTTTGTTGCTGAAGGTACAAAAACAAATCTAGTTTTTATCTACTATTATTTGAATAAACTGCATTTAAACCATGGGTTTATTGGCTTATATGGATTTGGGATTGTGTTGAGTATAGAGACTTGCTACGAGAAAACATGGTCACCCTTGGAGAAGGGGGCAGGCGGGCCGTGGCCCCCTTTGAGAATCCGGACGGACTTCAAAATATGTAGAATTTTGGGAATTCTTAGGATTTGTTCACTACCCCCTCCCCCCACCCGCTGGGAGAATTCTCCACCCGCTGTGAGAATCCCCGCTCTCTTCAAATAGTTTTTGGGGCAGCTACACTTCCGCAAAAAGTAATTTCTGGCCTCTTGAGAAAAATTCCTGTGGGCGCCCATGGGATCACAGATATATGTACTTCTGGGTCTGTGACCAAAAACGTTTGCCAATTTCATTCCAACTTACCTTGAAGAATGTAAGGTGGCCGTTTTCAATCATATCTAGTAGTCTTAAGAAGCCACAAATCTTCATTTCATCGTCAATATCTCGATTCATTTTAACTGCTTGAACTAAAAGCGAAAAATATTTTCTGATGCTTCTTGCCAGAAACTGTAAGTTTCTTTGATGATCGTCTTCCAATTTCTCTGTCTGAAATTAATAAACAAATAAATAAATGAAGACTTATTAAATTATTGGTAAATATTGAATTATTGGTTACGTTATGTTACACTTAGCTGCTAAGCTGATAGCGCTGCGTGAAGTATAGCAGTTGCTGAATGTTTGGTGCACTCCAATCTGAAGAAGAACGAGGGAGCTGTGGGTCTTGTTAGCAGCAGTATGTCCTGGTCTAGAGACGTTTCTTTGGAATCAGACCGGAAACACATTCTGTGCCTTGGCCTCAACTCCAAAACATCACCCAAATTTATTTGCTGCCTTTATCGCTCTCCGTTGGACCATAACTGAGATAACCTACTTGAATACCTCGCTGTCAAGATCAAATTCCTAAACATCAAACAGCCTGCTTCACAGGTAGTTCTCGTTGGTGATTTCAATGCCCATAATGAGCTCTGGTTGGGCTCAAGCTCAAGACCGATGCAGCAGGGACTGACCCAGCTGGTACAGTCCGACTTTTTTCCCCGCGTGTAGTGACACGCCAGTAGTCTGCTGGATGTCTTTCTGACCACTCATTCTGTCCCTTACCTTATCTGCCCTGGCTAATTCAGACCTCGGTATTGTCGAGGCAAGGTTTCGGTCAGAACCGGCTGTGGCAGCAAAAATTCGTCCAGGCCACAAAATTTGGCATTACAGACATGTCGACTGGGAAGGGCCAGAGACTTTTTCTCTACCTGCCATTGGAGAGATATTTGTTTCGCTGACCTAGATGCGTTGGCTCTGTTCATCAATAACCAAAATTATCTACGTGGAGATGGATGGAATATATCCCTCATACAGTGAAAGTGCCTAAGCCAGGGTCAAACGGCTGGTTCCACAAATCCTGCGACACTGCTCGTCAGCAGAAGATTAATTCACACAGAACCTCCTGACAAAACCCCACTGTAGAGAATAGATAAGCCGACGTTTAGTCCAGAAACAAATATAGCGAAGCGGTCCGCAGTGCCAAAGACCAGCACAATGTAAAGGTTAGTTATAGGGTAATGTCGCAGCGCAAGGGGGCAGTCGGTCTTTCTGGACGCTGGCCAATCAGATTGAAATGATGCCTTCCACAACCGACTCAAAGGTTGTGGAAGGCACCATGATGTACAGCGGAGCTTGCTTCAGTTCTTTCGCGTCCCTTCCAGATATCTTACGACTCCGGCACTTTCCCAGAAATTGGCTCACGTCCAACCCATCTCAAAACAAGGATCTAAGACCCATCCTAACTACAGAGAGGTGCATAAATCCACGAGAGACGTCCTATCTCTTATGCAAACTTTCATCCTATGGCCTCCCAGAGAAGCTTTGCAAATGGGTAGCTGACTTCCTCTCTATTCGGAAGATATCCGTCATGATTGACGGGTTTTCCTTTACATCCCACAACGTCAATGCGCGTGTTCCAAAGGGATCGGTATTGGCTCCGGCATTGATCCTCTTATACATCAACGACTTTTTGTCCTGTACGGTCAATCCAGTCCATAGCTTTACTGATGATAGCACTCTACATGCATAAATTCACAGTGACAAGCTAGTCTCTGCTGGTGAGCTGGAGAAAAGAAGACCAACAGCGACTTGCCCTCTGGTGAGAGACATCACTGCTCAGGGGCGCAACATTCTTGTACAGTTTAATGCTTCCAAAACACATTACTGAACCATGACGAGCACGAAGCCTCTTAGAGCTCATCTGGTTTCAACGGATGGCCGAGATGTATCAAAGAGCCGTTCATTTCGACTGGTCGGAGTCCAGATCACCTAGGACCTAATCTGGTAAGAACATATCTCGTCAATAGCGGCAGATACAGGGAAACAGCTAGGCTATTTGTTTAGGGCTAAGAAGTACTTTTCTCCATATGACCATCCTGTTCAATGCCCAGATAAGACCTAGCCTCGAGTACTGCTCACATGTTTGGGGAGCTGCCGCCCCTACTAGATTATCTATGCTCAATGCTATTCAGAGGAGGGATGTCCAGCTGATTGATCAGAATTCTTCTACTGCTACTCCAACGGATTTGCTCCTTAGAGCTCTCCTCCATTGTGCCGCCGCACTATGTGCGAGCCACACAGACCCGCCTGACTTCAGCCTCCCATCCTAACAATCACGAACTGCATATATCGAGAACTAGCCGATACGACCACTCCGTCGTTCCTAGGATATCGATATTGTGGAGGTTTTCCCACTTCTACTAACTTTGGGCATTTCAAAAATCGGGTTAATAAGGTTTCTTTAAGCTCTTTATAGCAACCGCGGTGCTCTGGCATTTAGGCTTCCGCTTGCGCACCTGTTTCGGTGTAAAAGAAATACAGGGAAATGCCAAAACAGTCACATTTTTTCTAAAACAAAAGTTACATTGCAGAAGAACACCAAAGTTGCACAGCACCTTGTCCCTGTAGGTGGTGTTGAAGCTGTTTATATGCAAACAAGACAAATATAATATCTATATATATATATATATATATATATATATAAATAATAACGATTTGAGATAATGTTGACTCCGATATTAACCTAGACATTAGGCTTACCTTTCCACATTCAGGTTTTGTTTTCGAAACCTCAAATTCCTTTGGTTCAACAACCATTCTCTTTGGTCGGAAAATGTTCACAAAGAAGTGACCGAACCTTTTTTTCTTTTTAGCTTTTGTCGCATTGCCAGAAGCAGAAGCTTTGCGATCGTCATATATCGGAGTCAAAAGTTCATTTTCGAAAAAGTGGTTATCATTAGACAGCGCATAGCCCACAGCAATCTCTTTTTCATATAGTCCCAGTAGATTATCGAAGAAGTTCTTGAAGACCATTTTCTTTTTCTCTTTGGTGGTCGGTGTTTTCAAAAAAGGTTTTGCGAATTCTTCAGGTTTGTCTACCAGAGTTATACAGCCAGCGGTCAGATTTGTACTGCTTAGTATCACTTTTTTTCCTAGGATTTGATTCAGGATGGACGTTGGCTCCAAATAGGAATCCATCGAGTCCATGGAAGCTATAAAGTAGTATAAAGTATATGCAAGTCTCTCGTTATCTACAAATATTGTCAGTTCCATTAATTTCTATTTTTGCAGTTATTACAGCATATATGTGCACAGAAAAGAAACATTTGAAGAAATATACACCCATGCACTACCTAATGTTAAATACCTAATGAATCCACACTCGCGACTTGCGACAGAATATGATTAAAAATAACAGTATAATGATAATTTATAAAATGTATCTGTCAATCCAGATAGAATCGCTGCTATTCGAAATTTGCTAAAAATGACGTCAAGTTGATTGAGTCCACTCCTCCGAAACAACTTCTTACACAATTTTCCATATAATGAAATGGCATCAAAAAAACGTAGATTTAGTTTGGGTTCAGGCTTAACTATCGGTCCAACTGTCCATTCTTGTAATATCAAATGGTCATTAAACTAAGTACGCACCTTGCCTTATACTAACAACACTACCCATGCGGTTAAGTCGATTGTCAACTCTAACATTCACATTACCAGGAAGCTGAGGACAGCTGCTGATACTGCTAGCAAAGCTTTCCACGCTCACCAAACTTTGCTTTGCGAGCAATACGTTCAAAGGTATCTCCTCGAAGCTCTGATTTCCTCCCGATGAGTCGTACCATCTCACCTTGTGTGCATACTCCTAATCACGAAAACAATAAGTCCTATCATTGATGTATTTTTTTTTTTCGACCAAACAGTAATTTTTAAACAAACACTTTCCAGCAATAACACAGTTTTTGGGGTCGCTAAACTCAATGCTGTGGTCGGTTGACCTCTGTCACGCCAAGATCAATGCCACTTTAATGACAAATTTAGAAAAAAGCCTAATAAATTTTAAAAAATGCATATTGTAGTTTTTAGAGTCGCTGAATACAAATCTGGTGTTTGCCTTGCCCGACAAGGTTATTAAATTCGTACAGTGGTCGATCAGTTATCACTGACTGTGTCGGGAATCCAGCCGTGTGAATTTCGCCTATATAGCGTAGCAGAGTGAACGGAATTTGTGTGGCGGAATCTTGGGTGACAGCTGTACGAACATGGCTTACTTTGGCATTGAAATAACCTTAATTTAGTCTTGAACTAACGTTTGAATTACCTTGCTGGTTAGACGAAACGTGAGACTGGAATTCAGCTTCAAGTAACCGATATGTGAAGGTTTTCAGATAGACTCAAACATGTTCATACACGTTGACCTTGGAATAACATTCATTCGACCTTGTAATAACTTCTTTGCATCGTAGATGTACTAGTGTAGGATTTAGAATGGATTTAGGTAATCTTATTTAACCTTGAAGTAGAATCTGACCTCACCCAATAAAACAAACGCCAGATTTGGATGCAGAATCTCAGAAACCCTGTGGGTGGATGTTTACAAATAGTTTACATTTTTACAAATTTTAACCTTGAAATAACATTGATTTGACCTTGAACGAATTCGATAGGTAGAATAAATACTGTCATGTTTGGAATCAGTGACCCAAAAGCTTTAAATGTTATTTTTTTAATGTTTCAAGCAATTTTATCTAAATTTTATCTTGAAATGACCTTGAACCTGACAGAATAGAGGAAGACGAACCTCGTCATTGAGATCAGAGGCCCCAAAAAACTCTACAAGCTACCTCTAAGGTATCCAGTGGAAATTCTTAGATCAAAAGTTTGTCTGTGTAATTTAAAGAAATCACTTCCTCAAACGGGGGTATTGTGAACCAATAGAAAGCGTTTTGAGAAAAACGCCTGATGAGGCCCTAGATTAAGATTCTTATGAGTTTTTTTGAAATCGACAATTCTACCGTGAATATATTAAAACTAGACTAGACTATTCGCTGTGTGCGCGATGACAGCGGCGCATAGCGACCGTAATTATTCGGGTCTAGGGACCTGTCAATTCTTGGCAACTGGAGGTTTTGATTACTTACAATATTTGGCTTTTTTTCATTGGATTTAAATGAAAGTAATTGAAAACGTAGTGGTGCTTATTAAACTAAGTAATTTGCATGCTTGATCGAACAATGAATGTGAATGTATGGGATTTTAGTTCACAAAACATGATACATATGATTATGTGTACATGAACATTGAACATATACCTAGTATGATTTAAGCTCCCAACCTTAAATTATTATTTTATTTATTATACAAACAGGGAAAAAGTTAGTGTTAGCACAGCATATGAGAGATGTTGAAGAGCTTAGGACGAACGGACAAAGGTACTTAGCAGGACAGATGAATATGCTTTATTGTATGGAGAATAAAAACATTCTTAATGACAAAACCAAGTTAAAACTAAACTATAATATATTTACATAAGTGGAGTTTAAGTAGGTGAATTGTAGAACTCACACAAGGCACAATATGGTTTATATATTAAAGCTCATAACGGAACATGTTTAAATTGTTAATTCCATTAATAGCATTAGGCAGACACATGTAAATCAGACCATTATAAATTATTGAGTCTTTTTCAAGTGTTGTACTACTAATTTGAGATCTTGTTTTCGCCTAATATTGTAAGTTATATTTAACGTTTCGTTTATTTTAAGATTTACAAATAATAACAAGCATGTAGGTCTAGGATTGCTTTTGGTTTATATATCATAGTTTGTTTTTGTAGAAAATGCACCTTTTTTAAACGATTTTGAATCAGACACACCAGAAGGGAATGCTATATCTCAATCTACTTTCAAATATGACAAAGTAACTGCTTAAGGTTGTGCTTTTCCCTACATTGTAACTAATTGTTCTTATAATGAAGGAAATCTTTGCTAGTTGAGTAAGCAATGATTAGTAAAATGTAATTTATGATCAATGATCAGTATCAAAATTTGATGATGATTGATTATTCAAATTTATAAAATCAAGAGAGCATTTAAATGTCATAAATTCGGCCATATTAACATTGAAAGTCAAGTAATTGTCACACCATTTTTTGATTGATTGTATATCACTATCAATGTTTGTCTTAATTTCATTTTGTCTTGTCAAAGTATTGTGTTATCGTCAAAAAATTACGTATTTACGATTTATACTTAAGTTTAATTAATTGTTGATATAGACTAAGAATAGGATCAGACCGAATACTGATCCTTGAGTTTGCCCCTGTGGTTATATTTAATTCATTTGATACATAATGTCTTCATAATGTTACAATTTGAGATCTGTTATTTAAATATGTTTTAAACCAATTGAGCGAAGTTCCAGTAAAACCATATTTGTTTAATTTTTTTAAAAGTATATAATTATTTACACAGTCTGCTTTGGAAAAGTCGCAAAAAATCTAATGAAGTTTGTTTATCGCGTAAATTTGAGTATAACTGTTGGAATAATGTGGAAAAGGCATCCATGGTATTTTTTTTTTATTTTAAATATCCAAACTGGTTGTCACTTATAATTTTGTTGGTTTTTAGAAAGTCTGTAATCTAATTTGGATTATTTTTTCTATCATTTTTCCTGTAACAGTAATTAAACCAATAGGCATCTCCTATGACCTTTTTTTTACTGGGTTGTTTCAGGTATAAATTTCTTAGTTTATATTACCCACAGTATTTGATGACCTTGTTCCTTCTTGTCAATCTTGAAATTGTCAATCACACGTCACTTTTTAATGGCTTCGCCGCAAAAATCCAAATCAGGAAAGTCCTTCGTGGAAGAATGACTGAGCCCCTCAGGCTCACTCTATGCCCAGTACGACGCTTCGTAATATTTTCGGTATTATACAGGGTCCGTCAGAAAGAACACATGTTTTTCGAATGGGTACTACATCGAGTGGGCTGGTCCCGTGTCGGTGGGGAAGGGCGTAGTGGGAGAAGTGCCGTTTCAGTTGGCAAGATGGTTTGGAACGTTGAGCATCGTGGGTTCACTGTACGTCGGTGCTTTCAAAATGGCGAGTCTGTCGTTCGAACGCGTCCACCTCGTGTGACACTGGGACAGTACCCGACCGTTACACCATTTTGAGATGGGTGGAAGCATTCAACACAACAGGTAATGTGATGAAGAAAAAACCGCCAGAGCTAAACCGTATTGTTAGAACCCCCGAAAATGTAGACAGTGTGAGAGTTGACACGCTGCAAAGCCCAAATCGTTTCGTCCGTTTGCGTGCCAGTTTCCTAGGGATCCACGCGTTCTCTTCCATCCTTAAAAAATCCAAGTTTATCAACAACTGTTGCCAGGGGATTATGCACAACGTGTTAATTTTGTACAGCTCATGATCGAACAGTTGGATAACAATGACATCACGTTGTTTATGAGTGATGAGGCACACTTTCATTTACATGGATACGTCAATAAACAAAATTGTCGATATTGGTCTCCACTGAACCCCCAATAGCTACATACCTCGAAACTTACAGTTTGGTGTACAGTAGGCCCAACGATGATTATTGGCCCTTATTTTTTTGAGGATGATGGAGAAACAACTACTGTGAATTCAGAGCGTTACATCCACATGCCGATCAACTTTTTTTCCGGAACTTCGACGTCGACGTGTCCGCCTCAGAACAGTGTGGCTCCAACAATACGGGGCAACATCTCACACAGCTCGCACTTCGATGGAACTTCTTCGGCAAAAATTCCCAGGACGTCTCATTTCACATCATGGCGATATTCCATGGCCCCCTCGCTCCCCGGACCTGTCAACGTGTGATTTTTTTTTATGGGGCTACCTGAAATCAAAACTTTACAAAAGCAAGTCTCGGACCTTCGTCGATTTGAAGGAGGAAATAAGAAGAGAAGTAACCCAAATGCCTGCACGAATGCTGGCCAACGTAATGGGCTCATTTCGGAAGAGGTTTGATCCCTACATTTCGACTCGAGGGCGCTATTTGGCCGACAAAGTTTTTAGAACGTAAATTTTGTTTTACTCAAAAAAATGGCATGTATTTCTGAGTATTACGATATATTAAAATATTTTTCCCATACTTATTTTGACTGTATCTACTACTACTCATTTAAAAAACATGCGTTCTTTCTGACGGACCCTGTATCTATGGAATTGTGTATTATTGTAGGAGCAAATATGTAGCAATGTAGTAGTGGGGTATACGTATATACTTGATAAGAGCTCTAATCATAAGACAAACGTCTGTGACACAAATTCTCTCAAAAACATGAATAAATAATGACCGTGTCGTTACGAATATTATAAGCGACTGTGTTTACAGCAACTATGCATTCATTTATTTACTATAATTTCCATGTTGCTGTAGAAAACGCTTAAAATTTGCACGAGCTGTTTTTCGATTGTTTTACAATTTACACAGCATTATTGTGACCCATTTCGAGAATGTGACCGTTTTTACTAAAATATCTAGAATTTAATGTCGAATTGTAATACCTATAGCAATTTGGCACATGTCAATTCCGAATTATTTCACATCTCTGCCACATCGCGCGCTGCGATCAATTTGACTATTAGACTAGCTACCTGACACTGTCGCGCCATCCGATCGTAATTCATCATCTCAGTTTCTGATGTGGTGTTGCTACGAAACAACTTCGAGCGTTTTCGCTGCAACTCATTTGTTGGGTACATTAAAACTGCAATGTTGGGAGTCTTAAACAAACTATCTGCGCTTTGCTCAGATTGGATGCTTGTGTAGCCGCTCTCATCTGAATACCTTGAGACTAGTCCGTCCTCTATCTGGATAGATGATATGGTTTCCTTTTAAACAAAAAGATTGTTCAAAGCTATTACCCTCAAGACCTTATGCATTTAGTCGTATTTGTAGACAAATATCTCACTGACCTTGAATGCCATTTTTGTAAAAAAAATATTTCTTTGTACAGGATATTACCTAACTACGAAGCTTCAGGGGTCGTTTTAAGAAAAAGAGTTGAGAGTATGAACATGTGTCTGAAGGTTTTGAAATACAGATCGTTGAAGTTTATAAAACGTTATTCATAAAATATCGTAATTCCTAAAGCCGATTGGGTTGTTTGGCGCTGATTTAACTCTAGCTAGACTAGGTCATGTGGCGTCTCAGTAGGTACCACTGTCATATTATTGAAAACAAAAAGTACACAAACGACTTTTTGGGGTTTTTATATTTTTTAACTTAGACAACTAAAAATACAACTTTTTGGCATCTTGTGTTTTCTTCATATCTTGTCTGCTATGAAAATAAACATTCAATTTCTACGACCTTTATAATCACATTTTTGGCATACCACATCTGCTTTTTATAACAAATAATTGCCAAGTCCAACAAAGTACAAAAATGAGCCATCGAAGTAAGCCTTCTGACTTCCAAAAGTCCTAATTGCAACGTTGTATTAACGCCCAAGATGGTCTAAAAAGCATGATTGATCCTGGAAGGTAATGTCGACGCAATAAATTATAGACAAAAAGAGCCACATCCAATAGGGCAGGCGGCTTCGTTAGATTGTCTCCAGTGGCGGACGGCTATTGTAGCTGATGAGGGGTAAGCTTAATTAATTTTTCAGCATCTCCCAGTTGTAATTGACTGCCTGATGAGGAAAAAGAGGTTTGTCACCACCGAAGTCAAGATCAAGTCAGACCTCAGATACAAAGTAATCACTCTAAAAACATCTATAGAAAGCTGAATCATAGGAAGGATAGTGGGGAGCAGGATATTGACATTCAACATATAAGTGGTAATCTAGGTATTGTGAAAACATTACTACAAATTTCAATTTTTGTTCAGATGGAATGACGGCTGAAGCTACTTAATTGGTAGAAGTCAAAAAACCAAAACTCGATCTACATTATCAAGCTCAAAATATATTTCTGTAGGTGTACAACAAGGTAGTAGGTAGTAAACTAGGTCCACTACTATTTATTTTATACATTAATGACATTTGTAATATTTTAGATTACTGTAAAATTCAGATATTTGCAGATGATATATTAATATACATATTAGATGAAAATATATACACTGCTTTTAAAAATGCTAAATTCTGACTTGTCAAAAATCATAAATTGGTTAGATGTAAATGAACTAAAATTAAATACTTCTAAAACAAAATATATGCTTATAGGTAAATACCTAAATGAAAATACTATCACAGTTAGGATAAATGGTGAAATAATTGACAGCTTATGAGGCTGTTGATCTATTTGTGCAAAAATTTAACTTCTCTGTGAAAAGTTATTGCCAAAATTATTGCATACAGAGAATACATGACCACAAACAGGAGGGGTTACGGAGGTAATGAAAGGAATTGACCCGCGTTTTTGTTATGACAATTATGTGTAAAATATGGAAAGAGAATTAGGGGAAGATATTGTAGTCTAATCATATTAGACGAATATACCCCTGATTTGCAAAATAATTGTAATGTCTCGTTTCATTGCCGCAAGTTGTTCAAGGGGGTATTTAAAACACGGACGCAAAAAGTGGGTACACCAATTTTTGTGGGAAATTTTTTTATTCGTCAACAAAGAATGAGACAACGTGTTTTTGGGATTCAATCGAAAGTGTTGACAGGAACGAAAAAACTCTTCATATCAGATTTTCAGGTATTTGTGAGACCTACAAAATGAAACCACACGTAAAAAGATCCGAATAATAGCAAAAAAGTTATGGCTGAAAATCGAGGCAAACTGCAGGTTTTGGCACTTGTTGGTAATGCGACGATTGTTTCGCGCAGATATTTGAAATTCTTCAAATCCTTAGGCTTCATTCTTCTTACACAACAAAATTGGAGTAGATTGGTCAAGTAGTTTTGGAGAATACCTAATTTTTATCCCAAAACACCAGTTTCACAACTAGTTTATTGAGCAATATACAGGGTTAGTTCAAATTGCATTGTATATCAAAATACACTAGTTTACCTTGCCGATATCAATCGCAAATCATTCCGGAAGATAAATGTTATTTTTATGTAAAAAATGATGGGTTACGTCTTTTCTTCCAAACAAATTCAAACATTTCGTATTTGTGAGTAGTTCGCAACAAAGGATGGTAAACACATCCGCTTTGTTTTAAAATGTGTATAGTAACGTATGTTTTTCGAATATCGTAGCGCATTTGTTCAATTACAAATACGAAATGTTTGAATTTAGTTAGAAGAAAAAAAACGTAACTTTTTTTTCGCATAAAAATAACATTTATCTTTCGGAATCGTTTGTGATTTTATATTTTTCTATTAAATGTTATTTGATCGAACCCTGTATATTGCTTAATAAACTAGTAGCGATGGCCGGAAAACAGGTGTTTTGAGATAAACAATTAGAAATTCTCAAAAAACCATTTGACCAATATACTCCAGTTTTGTTGTTGTTATTTAGAAGTATGAATTCTACGGATTTGAAGAATTTCAAGTAGTTGCGTGAAATTATCGTCGCATTATCAACAAGTGCCAAAACCTTCATTTTGCCTCGTTTTTCGGCCATAACATTTTTGCTATTAGTCGGATCTTTTTACGTGTGGTCTCATTTAGACTATTAGCATTCCCTGGAATTTCGTAAGGGACAAAAGTCGAGACTGTAAAAAATTTCCTAAATCAATCTACTGGAGAAGGGGGTAGCAATAAAAGTTGTTTACTTCTCATTTTACTTCTATATATGAAAATGTTCAAAGCAATGAGACACGAAGCCCTGTGGCAATCTAATTAATGGAGTTAACATTATGAAAATTTGTTAAATAAGATATTTCGGATCAGTTGTAAAAAAAGACCAGGTCCGAGTATATTATCAAACGTATTTCTTTGGGAATATGCTGTACCATTATGTGAGTCTTTCTTGTTTACATACAGGGTGGCCCAACAAAAAGGAATTGTAGAAAGTTTCAAGCTATATAACAGATTAATGGTTTGTTTGTACAGTAGTCGGTAACTTGTCGGTGACTGTCAAAATCAGAATCAGAGAGATGTACTGTTCGTACAGATTCTGACTGTTTACCGACAGTTAATCCGCTGTTCGTACAGAACCTTCTGATAGATCAGAGGACACCAGTCAACCAGTGACAGTGACAGGTATCTGAGTATGTCGAAACTATCTTGAGGACTAAAATTGCTTCGCAAAAAGCATTTAATGATCGATAACTCTTCTCTAATGGACGGTCTGTCTGTCCCTTTTCTAGACACAAGACTCATCCGCACCAACAATAATAGTTTATTGGTAGACTGATACCAGAAACCCATGTCTTCAGGCCGTTTCCTCAATTTCAGGTCATACCATAAACTAAGGATTAAAATCAACTTGGTGAAGCAGATGAAAACAAGGGTAATTAACATCTCTGACAATACTTTAAATACTTCAAATTTACGGAAGCTATCAAAACCTTCATCAACAATGGTTATCCGAAGTGTTTGATTAACAATATCTTGTTCAGCTCTCCTTCCAGTATTTTACCAAATACTAATAATCCAAATAATATTCTCACAACACCTAATAATAGAACTGATATAATTCCCAACAACAACACCAATTCCAATGACAATATAACCGCCATCCCAAATTCCAGATCTAGTTTTGCTGTCCTACCCTATATCAAAGAACTGACCCGTACGCTGATCAGACTATGTAGCTTGTTGAACTGTCGAATTGCTTGCAAATCCGTCCTCACTATAAACTGCATTTTTTCAAAGATGGCTTAACCAACATAGTTTACTCCATCAATTGTAATAATTGCAACAAAATATACATAGGTCAGACTTCCAGATCTCTAAAAGGAAGGATTACATAACACAAAAGTGATTCTAGGCTTCATCCCGAAAGATATATGTGCTCTGTCATCTCATGTCAATACAACACGGCACTCTATGAACTACACAAGGATCAAAGTTCTTGATAAAGAAAAACATTTGCTAGACTGCGAAAAGTTGGAGCACTTACACATCTCTCCAAATTTTGATTTTTCACAACCATAAATGGAATCTGGATGTTTTGGTCTATTCCACCCTTTTCCTCCAAAATTACATTCCATTCAAATTTGAATATTTGTTTTTTTCTCATAAGAAAATAATAATTGCTTAATTCAGTTGTCCATCTCATTAACAATATAGTTTGTTCAACTGCCTCTGGTCTGTTGACAAGTTTTTATTTAACACATCTTGATAAATCACACCATCTGAAGTGATTTGGCGACATAGCACACATTTTTACAAATTTTCGTTCCATCCATCGACACTGACACTACCAGCCTTCTGTCATCTGTCAAATGTTTCATTCTACTTATGATCCTGTGTCTCGCCATTTTCTGCAGCATCAGGTTGTTTCACGATGTAACATCTAATAATTTTAACTTTCGTTCCAAATATTTTTAATCCGTTTTGATGTGCTCCTGACACACAGCTGTGTGTATTATACTAATTTTAACGAATGTACCATGTATCCAGCTTTCACCAGGTTTCTAAATGTTTCCCTCAACTCAACCTTTAATAACATTTAGCAACAATCTCACAGACTATTGTAATTTAAAATCATTTTGCACAATAGTTGCTATCTCTTCTTAATGTTATTGCAGTTTCTGATGATGACATAGTGCATTGAAAGCTAGAGACTAATAAAGTATGAAGAGTCCTCATTGCTTGAATTTTTTCGAAGTACCCAACTAAAGGCGGAAGCTTTATTTTTCACCTAACTGGTCTAGACGACCATGACCACGTCTCAAGTTATATATATATATATATATATATAAGGAAAAAAATCATGCGGAGAAATGTATATAACAAATAGAAAAAATAACAGGCAAAATCCGCAAAAAGAAGGAAGTGGATTCGAGCAGAAAGTAGGATAGATAACCCGAGCGATACGCATTTCTGCTTGTTGGCTTCATCAGGGGTCTTCTGGCCACTTATCCATGAGATCTAAGTAAATCCATCACCACCACCATCTCGCTCTGAATGGGCTCGTCTCTTATGTAATTGTAATGCTGATCTGCATTTCTTAGGGATTTCCTATAGTGTTTTTAGATCCAGGCTAAGCAGGTATATTTTTTATTTGTGAGTTTAAGATGTAGTTTATGTCAGGTATAGCTACCCGGTTTTTAAATGTTTTATTGTAAAATGGCTTACCGTCGAAGTTAATAAATATCAGTAAAATTCAAAAAGATAATTCCTGTACCCGTATTACATTCATACGGTGGGGCACCATAATATTTTTCTACCAAATATTTACGGACGAGGCAAATTACGAGTATTCACAAGATGCTATTATTGGAGAAACCAGACATTTTCGCTGAACGTTTGGGTAAGAATTATTGGTGACTACTTAATCTACCCATGGTTTTACCAGCAAAATTGACAGGTTAAACCTGCACGCATTTTTTGCGGATCATTTACCCATTTTGATAGTGGAAGTACAATCAGCATGTGACTTATGCCCGACGGGCTCCTACAAAATCCAACCCGCACGTCCTCGAGTTCGTTCTGCGGGGCGGCCTTGGGCGCTGAACCGTGTGTGACCGTTTAGGGGGGAGGGCAACGGGGTGCCTGTCTTGCGGTGGACCGCCTCGGTCAGTTTGTGAGGAGACCCTCGGTAAAGCCGGTAGCTAATCGAACGATTCGTTGGGCCACAGGTGTCTCGGATGTATATCTGAGACGCCTGCAGCTCAGAGGTCATCGTGGGTAATGGTACTATACCCAACCCATGGTGTTAAGCGATTCCGTGCCAAGGGGTGCGTGACGGTGAGGATGCACCGTGTTAAACGGAGCCTCTGGGACACCGGGCGACCTCACAGAGTATCCAGCCTTGCGTTCGTGTAGGGGCACCGCGGACGACGACCACCATTTCCCCTTTAATCATGTTAACAATATGGAACACGACGAAAATAATAAAAACCCCGAGGTCCCCCCTACGGGGGACCCCGAAAATCCAGGCGGCCCCTCACCATCAGAGTGATCGTATTACCCCTAAATATCGCTTCAACCGCAAGTTTATTGTGGAGTATCCAACGAGGGAAGAGTGGGACGCCGGTAGTCAGAGACTCTCCGGAGTGAGCGGGCAGGTCTGGTACACCGACGGCTCGGTCACCGAGGAGGGCTCAGGTGCTGGGGTCTCTAGGCCTAGAACTAGGCTATATCTGCCTCTCGATGGATACACCACTATTTTCCAGGCGGAAATCTCTGCGATTCTGCCTTGTGTATCTCGCATTCTGGAGGAGGGTGGGCCTAGGAGAAGAATAATCTTATCCGACAACCAGGCTGCAATGAAGGCACTAAGTGCCTGTAAGATTACTTCGAGTCTTGTATTGCAATGCAGAGAGGCTCTGGATTGCCTAGCAGCGAGGCATTCGGTATCGTTAATGTGGGTACCGGGGCTCGCTGGGATAAGGGGCAATGAGACAGCGGACGCTCTGGCGAAGGCAGGATCAGCCAGCAAGCTCGTTGGTCCTGAGCCAGCTTTAGAAGTGACCGCGCATAGAGCTAGGAGGAAAATGGAGACGTGGATTGCAAAACAACACACTCACAAATGAAGAAGTATCTCCAGACATCTCCGCCAGGCACGGGAACTCATTGAAGTGCCCAGTGCTAAGGATGGACGTTTCTGCTTATTTCTGGATAGAGCCAACCTAAGGTTGCTGGTGGGACTGTTGTCTGGCCATAACACGTTAAGGCACCACCTGCATGTGATGGGGGTGGCTGAGAATCCCTTGTGTGAGCGCTGCGGGGTAGAGGAACAAACCTCGGCGCACGTTTTGTGTCGCTGTGAAGCTCTGAGCTACTATAGGCAGACTATACTATGGTCCATTACTTTGGACCGTCAGGACGTCAAGGAGCTTGGACTCAAGGCGATTCGCAACTTCGCTAAAAGGGCGAGGCTTGTGATCATAAGGGCCCGTTTAAGCGGCCTATGCATTGGCTCCTTATGGTGGCCGGAATGCCTCTAATTTCACGATTCATTCATTCATTCATGCCCGACGGGACTCCAGCTCCAGTGTTCGTGTCGTCAGCATCCCGACATCACCTACCCAAATCGCTGGACTGGATATACAATTCACAACCAACAATGCATGTTTAGCTGAGTCATTCCTCCATAGATGGACGTTCACAACGATCCTAGTGAGCAATCGTGGAATGACTGTTGGCACCCTAAAAACTAGCTGGTCTACAAGATGACATTTTATAGGTTTTTTTACATAATACCTATGTGGGTCATATGCTCATAGGAACCTTTTTTCTTAAAATGCCCCCACGAATCACCCATAGAATAATAATAATAATAGTAAAAATAATAATAGTTTATTCATCCTGTGGATCACAAAGTGATATAGGATAAATCAATTGAATATTAGTATCAACAGAATTGCATACATACATAAATTACATTCAAAACATCAAATAAAAAACAAAAGGTGCATAAACATGAAAACGAATTAAAATAACAACAAATTAACTAATTAAAGTTGAACAATACATTAAAACAATTAAAAAAGACTATCACACATTGAAAACTATTATATTTTTAAGTAAAATTTACCTGATTCGTTTTTTAAATAATATCAACAGTAGTGATTTAAAGTCAATAGGTAGTCCGTTGAAGAGTTTTATTGTCACGTATTTGGGACTCTCCTCCGTTCTAAATAATCTATGTACCGGCACACTTCTCTGTTTATGGTATTGTACAGAAGTTTTATGTCGTAGTTAGGAAACACCCCGTATAGATTGAAATAAGGTATATAGCAATCAATATGACGAAAATCATGGATTTATTAACTTTCGAGCCAAATATTTTTCAAACTAGTTAGTAAAGTTTCTAAAAAATTTGTAGCAACGTTAAAATGTTGCTCAAATTATTTTAATATTTCTATCAATATGTTTCTCGTGAAAATTGAGATGATATGAGACAATACGAAGTTTCTCATAAAAGAACATGCAAAATTTGTTGATTCATGAAATTATCCAAAAAACAAAACCGTCGATTTCATTTACTTTACAAAAACTTGTTTTAGCTTAATTACTTAGTATTACGTTAACTGCAAAATCAAATAATGTTTGACTCACCCTATCTTCCTCATCATGTCCATCTAGCTCTTCACGAGCAATGGTTTCTTCTTCTGTAAATACATCTGGTTTATAAATAAGTTTGTCTTTTTTCCCCAAGCAGTCCACGTTTTCAGCCTTACAACCGCATTTATAGAACAGCGAAATCGATTTTCTCAAAAAGTCCACCAAGCTATCGATATTATCATCCAAGCTCCAGTCATAACTACAACTTTTGCACCCAAAATAAGTTTCGTTGAACAGTGTAGAATGTCCTCTTGTTAGATGTTGACAGAATTCGTAAATCTTATATTTACTCACAAAGACGCTTTCTATTCCACTTCGTATTATGCCTTGCTTAATCTGGCTTACTCGGTTTATAGTATTTATCACTTTGCTATGCATTTTTTCTTTTTTGTTTGGAAAAAACTCCAAGCCATTGCTTTGTCTATCCAAGCTCATGAATCTAACTTCAAATACTTGAGGCTCATAATGGTTGTTATGATTTTGTGTTTTCTTCATCTTTTTACGTATCATATTATCGTACATCTTGCGTCTTTGATAGGAGCTGACATCAGATGTTTTGTATTGTTTTGTCAACATCATCGTATTGTGTTGAGGACGTGGTTCAGTACGATCTGACAGTTGTGAGGTATCTCTAGAACTCATGGTATATCCACCATCATTCGTGAATTTTTGCAAGCAGATTAAACTTGCCATCTTACTCGAATTATCGTCATTTACAATGACTTCGATACTAGAAGTTGACCTATAGCGTTTCTTCAGAGATATACTAGAACCATCTTCTAAAGGTCTCATTTCAATCATCCTTTGAGCCATAAACTGCTCACTTTCACTACCCTTACTCTGCTTATCAACGACTGTGCTCGAACTTTTAACTGGTACATTGACACTTATTATCTCCTTAGATATGTATTGTTTGCAAGCTCGTAACAAAGTGTCATCTTCTTGAATCGGTTCTGAATCTTTTCTGGGAACGTATACTGTTTCCACAGGGCACCATTTCTTTTGACCTGAAGATCGACTGGAGCCTTTTATCTGTTCTTTCATCTCATTTTCTTCACGTCCTACTTGCTCTATTGGTCTTGGGCTGGAAATGACATTCAGATTATTCATTCTTCTTTTGTACCTATAAAATACGCTCTTGCATCTTTGGTTTGATCCAACTTTCTGCAATTTACTTTTGTCTTTCGATGACCTCTTTTCATTACGAACAGTTTTAGCAATGAATTTTTTCAACATTTCAGCATCTATACCTTTACTTCCTACTGTGGAAATGATTTTCTTGATGTATTTGTTGTATTCACTATTTGGTTGATCTTTGTCAACACTGATATCGTAAGTTTCGATAGCAGCATCAATTGTCGTCATAATATTGCCTTTGCTTGTCTGAACGTCTTGATTTACAGATTTCTCTGCTTTGGTACTGACACCTACTTCTGAAATCTTAAGAGTCTGAGTTTTTATATTTTTTCCGGACATGCAACTTCCTGGTTTGGAATGTGGTATTTTTGAGCTGATATTGTCCGAAATCGCAACGTTTGATGACAAATCTCTGGAATCTCGTAATTGTACCTGAAGCCTACTAGTATCTATGGGGAATCCCAAACATACATTTTGGGCATCACTTTCAGGAGACTTCACGTCAGGTGATACAATGCTTCTGATTTTATTTGTTGAAACCGTTTGTATTTGAGAGAATTTTTCTCGATGTGTGTGAGAATCAAAGTTTTTATCTCTTTCTTTATTGGATTCTTGCAGTACTGTAGAAAAAATAAAAACTGACACTAATAAAAGCTGTCACAGATATAAGTAAAACGAAGTCTTGTATTTGAAAAAAATAGTTATAACTATATGGAATTTATCATTATGAAATTGAATGTACATACATACCCCTGTTCATGTTTGAAGACAAATTCTGCAAAAGTTGAATTCTTTCTCTACGTACATTTGAGGTTCTTGAGGTACTTTCTATAGTAGCGAACAGATTTCTCGGGTCTGTCAAACAGAGCAAATCAAACATTTGCGAGTCTTTACAGTAAGATGATACTGATTCTCCATTCTCGAAGAATTTCTTTTTAATCTCCATGGATATGTCGTAGATCTTCTTGAGATACTCTTTCATGCTTATATCTGTATCATTTTCTTTCATGGTTGACCTATCTGATGGTTGTCTTTTGTGTGTCGGTTGATCACCAATTGCAATATTGGCCTTTTCTTTATGATGAAGCAGTGATCGTTTTTCTTTTGATCCTTCCTTAAGTTTGTTGCGTGGTCTTTGTTCCAATTTAGGTTCTGGAAAATAAATGCTTTAAGTATTCTTGGACCAATGTTTTATGTGAATATTTAATAGTAATACAAAAATCGAGCATCGACTTTATGACATCATTGTTCAAATTAGCTAAGTGAATCAATAAGCTGCCATACGTAGTCACAAAACAGAATTGCTATGATAAAAATAAAATCTGATGCAGTGTACGCATAAAGTAGTTCTAACATTCTATACAGATACTAACTTTTCTTTGTCGATTTATCACATAATGAAACATAAGACACATTTACATCTGATTTTGACATGTATTTCCAACTATACATTTGCGTCTTCTTCGGCTTATTCACGTAGAACTTTATTTCTGACTGCTTCTGGCTAGGCCAATTCCTAGAAAAGGAGTCGACAATACTTTGATTCTGAAGAATACTTAAACCTAAGTTCTCCTCTCCACAATCTATCTCTTGTTTCATCATAATTTTGTGAGGTTGTTGTCTTCACTACTTTTCATCAATCTTACAACTAGACAAATCATTACGTTGAAAAATCAAACACTCTCAATAGTGTCAATAGAGCGGGGCCTACAGCTGACGGGACCATATGGCAGAGCGAAATTCGGGGCTTTAATTCTCAAAACAAACATGTTATCTATTCCCTGAGAGAGCCTCTTGAGCTAGAAACTTCCAAATTTTATAGTTTTTATTGCCGAATCTTTTATAAATATTAAAGATAATTCAACTGTCAATAAATATAAAGTTCGATAGTACGGCCAATCAAACAGTGGAAAACAAACTCCCAGAGCTGCCAGACATTAGTTATTTTCTGAAAGACAAAACTTGTGGCATTCAATAGCGTTTATATGTACTTTCAATGACTGCGTATCAGCTAAGATAGGTAGTGGTCCGAAGGCATGATAGTACACACTATTTGGAACACATTGAGCCAAATACACCTGAGTATAAAAACGAACCGTTTTTGAGTTACGCGAAACGTTGTAAAATCCTAGAAAAAGACCAAAATCATGCGATAAACCGTTTGTTCAACCGAGCAGAACAACTTCTTAAATCCCCCGTATTGGTCTAGCCGAATCAAACCGCCCATATATGTTTAAAATTCCTCTTTATTGTACGAAGATTTGGTCCCAACGGTGACCTTTTTCAAGAGCCATTCACACGTTTGTAGAAACTTGGGGGATTATCAACATGAAAGCAACAGAATAAGTTTCACATGTTATATCAGCACTTTGTTCTCTTATGTGTATCATTTATATTGATGTATAGTTTTCCTATACCATATACAGGGTGGCCCATCCATGTATGGACGGAATATTACTCATAAACAAATACATTTTGGGAAAATCCATTTATGGCATGTTATTCATGACATTTGAGGGCACATTTATAAAATATTGGTAATTATACAGGGTGGCCCAATTTTAACCTACATAGGTATCAAAGTTGTGATTTTTCAAATGAAATGCCTCAAATTTTATTACATATTTGGATAAACCAATTCAAAAGAAGAAGATTGATATATCATACTATGGAGTTTTGGTAACTGGCTACTGAGATGTAAGGTGTTCTGTCCAGAAAAACCGTCTACTTCGGCAAGTCCTCAATCCGCCATTTTGAAATTTGGAGCGCTGAGTTTTGTATAAAAAAAACTTACACACATCAGCTTTTATCTTATTTGTCATTTGTTCCAAATTTAAGTTTTGCTTATTCAGGGTGATCAAAAACGCAAATTGTACTTTTTCTAAAAAATTTCAAATCCATCACCCTGTATATTTGTGCAAGTTTGGATTCAATTTTTTATAAGCTTTTTTTTGGTATAAGGTTTGATTCAGATAAAATCACTAGATTTTGAGTTATTAAGCTTTTAATAGAGCAACACAACAAAATTAAGGAAAAAAATCACCTCATCCATGGAAACAAAAGACAAACAGTGGGCTAGTTCCATATTGCCACTAAGAGTATAGATTTGACGTAAAAACTAATAACAATCAGAACAGTATAAGTCAGCTTCAAGCGTAATAGAGAAAAGCAACTATAACAACAACATAAACAAACAACTATCACTACTCAAGACCTAATCTACAAAAACTGCTCGAAAATATCTCCACCATGTTGAATACACAGCCGTAGTCTTTCGATAAATGACCGTTGCACATCCATCAGCATGTGTTCCCTTATGTTCAGAAAAGCACCCTTAATCCTTTCCTTCATATTTTCCGGGCCAGATGGTGGATATTTACAAACCTCTTGCTTAACGTAGCCCCATAGAAAGACATATCTGGTGATCTAGAAGGCCAAAATATACGCCCGTCACGACCGATCCAACGATTGTTACTCCAGGTGTCCAAATAGTTACGCACATTACGATAATGCGCAGGTACGCCGTCATACTTTAAGTACATATGCATCCGAGTTTGCAGGTTGACATCCTCCAAAAGCAAAGGCAAATGCTCGATCAAAAAATTCAAGTATTCTGTACCTGTTAATATGTTGTCTGCCAATAACTCCTCCACAAACATTCAAGCTCCATTTATTTTGGAAATCTATTTGCCTATGGTTGAATAATCCTTTGGACAGAAGTTCTGCATATATCAGTTTCTGCTCCAATTTGCCGTGCACTTGAATGGGGATTTTATTGCAACTAACCCCTTCACATCCAGTACTCCACATATGGATATTTTGAATATGCTCTCTGGATACCATAATATCCACATATGGATATCATTGTTAATGGCTTATGTTATGGAGCAGGGAACTGGTATGGCGAGCTGCTATCAATTAGACCGACTGGTATGGCATACAAGCCATCCCCACCCAAATTTCTTCAATATCCAAAATATTTCCACAGAAATATTTTTACTGTTAGTACATAAGTAGTCACGCTGGTACGCGGTCGTGTATGCCTCTAAATTACGTTTTGGCGGGAAAGTCTGTTTTATCGTGTTTCTCAGTGTTGTTTGGATGTAAAAGTTTTATTTATCAAAAATGAATGTCCAGGACTATTATACAGATAGTGATGACGATTCGGAGTATGAGTTAAGTGATAATTCGGATATGAGTGACTCTGACGAAACATATTCGGGGACCGATGACGATGAACTTGTCGAAAACGTGACCATGGACGAATGGCAAGTTTTAAGTGATCCTTTTTTCGATCAGGTTCCTAGAGCTACGCAAAATTTTTCTTCTGAATATACTTTTCACCCCGCCATTGATATGGAAGAGTGCAGAGATCCAGTCAATTGTTTCGAATGTTTTTTAAGCCCAAATATCGTAGCGAAATTAAGTGAGTGGACGAACAGAAGAGCTGAAATGTACTTTGAACAAAATACAAATACAAGGACAGTTTATGGCGTTCAGTGGAAGAAACTAGAAAAAGAAGAGATGTACGTTTTCATCGCGCTTCATATTCTTACTGGATTAGTAAAGTGCCCTCGCATAACAGATTACCGGAGTAATAACATTTTGTGCGCTGGTCCAAAAGTTTTCAATAAGTCTATTATGAGTCGAAACAGGTATCTTTCTATACTCAAGTTTATTCGGCTTTCGCCACCCGAAGCAGCAAGAAACAATGCCCCTCTAAGCCGACTTGGAATTTATATGTCCATGCTCAAAGACAACTGCAAGACGTTGGTTGACCCTGGACCAGTGTTTGCAATAGATGAACATTTGATGCATTATAAAGGCAGATTGCACTTTCGTCAATATATTAAAACAAAAAGAAATCGATTTGGCATAAAACTTTTTGCAATGTGCCCAAGCGCTCCACATTTGCGCGGATATACTTGGAACTTTTGTTTGTACGTAGGGAAAGACAATTTCGATGTATCCCATATTCCAGGCACCGGAAACCTCACTGTTTCTGAAAGAATTGTCGTGCATTTAGCTCAAAATATACTGAACAGTGGCCGAGAAGTTATTCTAGACAATTGGTATACATCCGTGCGGCTTTCGCAATTTTTACTTACCCAAGGAACCTATTTGACTGGAACTATAAGAAGCAATCGTGGAGTTCCCGCTCAGTTAACTAGAATTCCACTAGAAAGGTACCAATCCTGCTTCGTACGGAAAGACATGCAACTGCTTGTACGATATAAGGACAAGAAGGATGTTTACTTGTTGACAAGTAAGCATAGTGCAGGGTTTTTTGAAAAATCTCGCTATATGGTAGGCGGTAAACAAGTGCATTTTAAAAAACCTGCCCACATTGAATTTTATAATCAAAATATGGGCTCTGTTGACGCTGTCGATCAAGATCTGGAACCTTACAATTCTTTACGAAAAAGCTATACTTGGTTTACAAAAGTGGGCTTTCAATTAATGCTTCAGATGCTTCTAAATTCTAAGGTTTTATTCTGTAACGCTAAAGATGATTTAAACATTTCGATGTATGACTATATAAAACTGTGTTGTAATGGTATTTTGCACAAATACAGTGAAGGATATTGCTGCATGACGGATGCTTCTTCATGTTATAATCAACCTTCAACTTCGAAAAAAACACAAAAAGGACACGTTATGGTTAATTTACCAAAGGAAGATGGAAAAAAACGGGCATTGCGAAAGATCTGCGTTATTTGCCGAAAACACAACCAAAGGAAACTAACACGAAATATTTGCATTGAGTGTCCAAATAAGCCAGGGCTTTGTTGTCCGGAACATTTTCAAGAATACCACAAATGAACTTTATATTTTAAGCGGTTTACCAATGTTACGTTCTACTAGTTTATTTTATGTAAAAAATATGAATAAAGCACTTACGTTCACAAAATGTGACTTTGATTTATTTTTACATGGATATCCAAATATGGATATTATGGTATGCCACTATTATCCAAATGGTGGATATACTGGTATAGTCATAAAATATGAATCACTGTCGCCATGTTGTTTTTGACTTTCATGAAATATTTTAACTGTGGTTAAAGATGTATGTCATTATGTAATCTTAATATTTCATTTTCGATTTTTTTTTCGTCTGGTATGTGAAAGTGCCTTTTTAAATTGCACCTGGATGTGAAGGGGTTAATAGAACCTCCAACTGATTCCCCTCATTGGTGATACTTGGATTATTTATACATTTTTCACTATATACCACTGCTCCACTTGATTCAAAACGTTCTCGTAATGTGGAATATGTTTCCGGCCTTGGTTGTCGCATATTAGGGTACTGTTGCTTATAAATGCGAGGTGCTAGGAAACTATTTCTTTGGGCTTCGCCCAAAACGAACACCATATTCACCATTTCTTCTTTAGAAAAATTCATTTTCAAACACGTTTTTATTATAATGCTCACAAAGCTAATTTTGACAGTTTGCAACTAATCAACAATTTATTTGTTTCCAAGGATGATGCCATATGTTAGGTAATTAAGCC